GAAGTAATACATTAATAAATAATTGATATAGACTGACGTAAAAAGGCCTATTTCTCAATATATTTTAAAGCCTTATTGCACAGCCCTAAATGGACCAGAATTTTAACTGCTAAAATGTGCTATGAAGTGGAAAAAAATTTTCTGAAGCTCTGCGTCTTCACAATAAAAAATTTGTTCAGTAGTACTTTAGACATGTTTTTTTTTTCTTAATGAGAACAAGAATGTCTTTCTTCTAATTCTACTTATCAAGAGGGATTGAGAGGGATTGAGCTTGTCCTTAAGATCAAACTGTACTGATTTTAGAGTTTTTACTTTTTAATTATATTGTTACTTTTAATCTAAAAAAAGTCACAATTTTTGTTTTGGTGTTAGCTCCTTAACAATATACAGTCATATGCAATAAGTTAAAGTATTATCGATAAGTTTGGTTATGTGACTAAACTAACTGAGAGAAACAGGTTTCCAAGCCTTCACTCCTTTTAGTTATGATGAACTTTGTGGTTACAGCTAAAGACACAACATTTGCAATTTAAATATTACATCTCCCAATGAAAAAACATATTCAACGCATAAATTTGGGCTTCATATAAAACAAAAAGTCTAACATAAGCTTAACGAGCCTCATCATCATGCAGATTCCAATTTCTTGAATGCCAAAAACAGTTCCTCCTACTGTACAGCTCTTTTTCTGCTCCTTTCCTGAGGGATTTATCAGCAAGCTAAAGTGGGGAGTCTTCACAGTGAATGTTCACAAATCCATTGCAATGCCTTTTGATAAGCTGTGATATTAGGAATTATTCCACCACAAAACTATTTTGCTCAGTTCCAGCTTGATGCTGTAAAATATGCTATGGATTTGGAGAGTAGTTCTAAAAATAATCAACGTAAGGCTCTACAAGGAAAGAGGATGAGTTTTGACTGTATTTTATTTTCGAGCAAATAGTGTACAGCATACTTTAGTAAATCTTTTTTTCTGTTTGAAAATTGAAGCAGTGCACCATAACTGATTGATAATAATACATTCCTCATATTTTGAGAGTGTGAATAAAACACTCTGTTGAAGAAAAAACACAGCAGTGTAACAAAGCAAGTTTTTTGAGCAATTCATTAGCTGATTAGATTTTTTTGATGACCAAAATGCTGCTGGTAACATGCTACCTTAAATTACTCATTTGTTCCAAAGACTGAATCAGCTTTGCTTTGATTATAATGATTTAAAACCAGATATTTACATACACATTCAATAAAACACAGAACCCTTTTCACTCCCTGTCTGTCAGTGAATGCGTGTAAACCTTTCCTTTCTTAGGTCATCTGCCATACCAAAATCATTTCTGCTATATTTGGTAAATGGCATAACAATGGAAGAAGTGTTTAGATGCATTCGTTAAAGAAATGAATATCAATAAGCTTAGTTTTGAATAGATTATGTCATGGCTTTGCAGACATCTAAGGTTAATGAAAACACTTGAGTCAAATGTAGGCCCGTTTATTTATGTATTTTAAGGTTCAAACAAGTTGTTTCCATTTGACTTTATAGAAAAATCTAAATGAATGAGCTGAAATAAAATGAGTTCCATAGTTATTTCTTAATGACAGTGGAAAACCCTATTTCTGATTGATCCTTATCAGATGCCTTAAGATCCCAAGTTCACCTTTTCAGATTTATGCATGTTAGAAAACCATAAGATATTCAAGTTTTATATTGATCAGAAAGGAGATGGCTTCTGTGTCCCATAAAAGAACCCCTTTCATCATCTTCCACTTATGCAGGACCAGATCGCAAGGGGAGCAGTCTCAGCTGAGGCTCCCAGACTTCCCTCTTTCCACACACCTCTAGAGGAGCTGAAGAGACAGAAGTCTGCGGTTTGTCCAGGCCGGCTTAGAGACAGTTCCCCTAATGTGTCCTGGTCCTCCTTCAGGGCGCAGCGAAAAAGATGTGTCTCAGCTGACTCCTCTTGATGTGGAGGAGATGCGGCTCTACTCTGAGCCTCTCCCGCATCACTAATCTCCTCACCCTATCTCTAAGGAAGTGCCCAGCCACCCTGCGGAGACAGCCTTCAGCCGCTGGTGTCTGGGATTCAAGATTGAGATCTGAAATTGGATCTATCTTGGTTGTGAAATGAGCAAATGAGCAATGGGAAAATACCTTGTGGTAGGACAGCTTCATTGTCCACAGAGAGACTCCTGTACAAACATTCACTTCATCCAATCTGCAAGGATCAAACTATTTCTTTAAGTGAAACAGAAAGTCACATTAGAGTAAAATGTCTCAAATATTGGTAAATAGCTAAGATGTCTAACTTGTGTAACTTTGGTAGGCAAATGGGAACAAGAAGAGACGTAATTAAAGTTTGTAATACGTGTTTTCTCAGAATAAAATATCTCTAGAGAACTTTATCATGATATTACCATAATACTCTGCAAAATATTTCAGTACAGGTGAAAGTGGAGAATGCATCTACAGCCAAATAAGGTTAGGGCTAACAGTGCAAACCAGCACTGACTGGTGTGCTCTTTGAAGCAGCTTAACTGCATTTTAAATCCATCCTCTGCATGTAAGTTAAAGATTTTCCCTTACCGAGTTGTTTTCTTAAATGATGAATGAACTGTGGTGCAAGTGGCCAGAAGTGCACAGAAATGGCACAAACTGTAGAGCGCAGCGGGATGATGTGAGCCAGACTTCGTGACTTGACATCAGCCTGAACTGTAGGGGGGGTTGACATAAAAATAAATCTGTAAAAGGCTGTCTTAACATTCTGATTGCAGGGATCCCAAGAGTTCCTCGTAAACCGACCTACGCAAGCAGCCGTTTGTGTGTGAGTGCATGTGTGTATCTGACTGTGCTTACTCTTTGAGCGGACTTTGAGCGAGATATAAGATATTTATTACGCAACCTAACTACCTTGATGGAAAGTACTGCATTAAGCTGGCTGTAGGTACACAGCTCTGTGTAAATAACCATGGGATTTTTAATTGATTCTAGTCAGGCTCCATCAGCCGTCCTACCTGCCTCATAAATCATTTAAGATTTCACTTTAAAACTGCATATTAGTAAACTGTAATAATAATAAATTATGACTCCTTATGAGGATGTATTATGTTTGTCCTTGAAAGACAGAATGTGTGCTTGCTTGCTGTGTGATGGTGGCTGCATAGCAAGTTGTGTCAGGATGTGCCTAATTTTAGGCAGCTGATGTGAGATGTATTTGAGGCTCTGGCTCGGCTGGAGGTGTGATGTTTATCTTCGCCTCTGAGATTAATAATGACAGCTTTTTTCAGCTCTGGAAAACTTCTAAACAATAGTTGTGGCCAAATAAATCACCTTAAATATTTGACCACCATCCTGCACCTTAACACACAGTGTACGGTTGTGCTGTACATTGTCACACAAACATTTTGTCTGAGATTCTAAGTTTTACAAAGCGTAACATCCTATAGGACAACCATTTATGTTGCTGTCATGCAGAGAAGCTTGCAAATTAAACAGCTTAGCTTCAAGCCATTTATCAAGGGTTGAATTGGATATGATGTGTCAGCTGCAGCATGTACTGTAGCCTGGCCTCTGCATCTTACATAAATTAACAGTAAAACAACAAAACCTTAAATCTATATCCCAGATTTCAGACCTGCCTCCTTTGCTGATTGTAAAGACATATACAACAATACACCAATGCTAAAAGATGAACAGGAGGTGATTTAAACATCAAATGCTTTGTTTTATATTTTATCTTATATTTAATGTATTGTTTTATGTGTAATCCCTTCACCATACTGCTAATCTACACTGAAAGATTAAGATAGAAAGATAAATTATGATGCCCATTAAACTTTTGGGGAAACGTGAGAACATGAGCAACAAATACTTCCTTTTATATTTTTCAGTATGCATATCTTTATTATTATGCATACGTGAGCACAATTACATATCAACCATTATATATATGTCAGGGTTTAGTGGAAGTTGCTTGAGGACCCAATTGCAGAGATGAGGAGGCACGTTTGAGATTTAATCAAAATCCCAAAGTCAAAAAACAAAAACACTGAAAACCAAAAACGAAGGAGACGTCATGGAAAACACACATGGGAGCAAGGAAGTGATGCAACAAAACAACAAGAAATCAACAATGAGGAACTGCAGAGGTGGTGTATATATGGGGAACAGAACAGAGAATGGAGTAATGAGCTGATATGGAGCAGGTGTGAATAGAGCTAACTAGAAGGGAGCCAAAGGGGAAAAAAACAGGCACAGGAGGGCAACAGAGAGCAACTCAAAAAACACAACGCTGCCACCAAACAATTACAAAGACTCAGAATTACAAAGAAACTAAAAACAAATATATACATATATGTTTGTGTATACATTTTTCAGCTGATCAGGTACCTGAAGATCCCAACACACATATTAAACATAATGATTTTCTGCTTACACCAAATGAATATATATTTAGAATATTTAACCAACAAAAAAATATATATATAAGACATATAGTTTGGCTCCAATTGTAAGGTTGTTATCTTGCAAAAGCATTCGTGAGTGGTTCAGCAAATCATTCATGCAAATTTTAGGTAGGGCTGCAAGTCAGTCATGAAAGTATGAGAATGTCATTTCACTGTTGCTGAAGCCTAATCAAACTTTTTCCTGATTCTTTTCCAAAAACAGGGAAAAACACTCAAATCACATTTGGATGTTAATAGACAGTATGATATCTAGTACAGTATTTTATTTGTTTATTTTCATAACTCTCTCAGTTAATCTGTTATTTTTTTAAATGTTGTCCACATTGTGTGACTAATTCTGCTATAATCTTTTGCCGCTGTAACACTGCAGTTTCCCCATTGTGGGACAATAAGAGGGATTTTAATGAAATATATTGTTTTACATGTAATTCATTCACCATATTGCAAATCTACACTGAAAGTTGGAGTAAATTGTGGTGCCCCTGAAACTTTTAGCCAAACATTAGAACATGAGCAACTTTTATCTTTGTGCTTCACAGATGGAAGACATCGTTACACGAATACAAGATGAGAAAGCAGGAGGGGTTGCCATCCGAACTGTTAAAAGCTTCCTCTCCAAGATCCCGAGTGTGGTATCAGGTTCGTATTTGTGTGAAAACCATAAATGTGCATGTGTGTGCATGCTTTAACATTTACCAACCAATCAGCTGGTTGCTATCATGTTTTTTTCCCAACGGTTTGACTATGCAAAACATATGAGTCACAATAAATTATACATGTTTGACCTTTTGTGCTCATTTTCTCCTTCATAGAAGGAAGCAGATATTGTCTTTGCAGGCCTGTTTGATCCTGTCCTTGCCAACAATGCAGAGAAAGCTCAGTCTCCTCTTTGTTTTCCTATTTGTGTACGTGCTGCATTTCTTGATGTTTGTGCTACTCTGTTAAGGATGTGGAGGTTGCTCCGTCTCTCTGTGAGGCTGCGTCTGAGTCAGTCCTTCACATGGTCTCCTCTAGGCTTTTCCAGCTGCCTCTGCTGAGCCCCAACAGGGGGGCCGAATGTTTTGCTGCCCAGGAGCAGATAGAGATGGCAGAGCAAACCTGTCAACAATATGCTATATTTAGACACCTATTCAACGCTGACAGATTTAAAGGCAGCCTATGTCTGAGCTGCTGCAGATTTGTAATTGTGTCATCCTCTCTAAACAATGCTGTTTTCTTGAAAACAGGGGCGGACATAGTTCAGTGGCTGATGAAAAACCTCTCCATTGAGGATCCAGGTAGGCCTGCTGAGAGACGTTGCAGTGCATGTACACACAAAGTGGTGCAAGATCATTTATTTCACCTGCTCTCCTCTCACTAGCTGAAGCCATCCACCTCGGTAGTCTGATTGCAGCTCATGGCTACATCTTTCCCATCTCTGACCATGTCCTGACTCTGAAGGATGATGGAACTCTTTACCGCTTTCAGGTACAGATAAGTTTGCTGCGGGGCTGTCCTTGATGGGCTTTGGGAAGCCTTTGAGTGTAGAATAATAAGATGATGGTTGTTTATCTGAGGGATGTGTTTACTGTGCAAAGCTACTGAGAGCAATCCTTCCTAAGCCTATTACTCATCCACCAAGGTCGATAGTATACAGTGAACCCCTGCTGTATCAAAGCAGGAGGAGGGCAGCAAGGCAGAGCCTATGGGTCAGCTGTAAGGTGTTTATCTGCTCCGTCATACGCAGTGCGATCCTTGACTGGCAAGCCTCAAGATGGGAAGCTGCGAAGTTTCCCTACCTTTCATCTACAGTCTGCCTCTGAAAGCATTCATCTGCCCTTCTATTGACTAAGATTAAAAGCTATTATGGTGTTTGTGCAAGAAAAGCGAAACTTGCGCATTAAGCTGGGGCCAAAAATATTTCCTCTGATGCAACGGACTAAAACCTCTCCAAAGAATCCACAGCGCATCTCGAACGTACTGGGAAATCTACACAGCAGCACTGCAAGAGACTGTGGAAGCCTTAAAATAGATACCACCCGGGTAGAGGACCCAGATTTAATGACGGCTGTCCTCCACTGTTTGTCACACTTTTATGCATTGTGTTACAGAATGGGCTGCTTTATTTTAAGCCGACAGCTCTGAGTGAGAGCGGGTTCTTACGTTCACACAGGTGCATTCATCAGCATCAAGCTCTCTCCTCAGGCTAATTATCTTCATGACAAATAGTGTAAATGAAATATGTGGTTCTAATTCTGTCCCATTATTAAGAATGCATGACAAATTGAAGTCATCAATTATGAATGGACTCCGGAAGGAATTTTGAATCTGTATTTTAAGCTAGAATAGGGAGTTATAGACAAACCACGAGAATAGATTTTACCATTTCTTCATGGGTAATTATAGTAGACAAATGCATGTAAAGATCATGTTTGAACTATTTGCTTACCTTTTGATCACAATAAAGCTAAGGGAGTAAACTGTGTATTATAGGTCATAAGTCTACATACACTTACATGCATTAATGTTAATAAATCTGGAGATTTAACTATGAATCTGAACAAAGCAACATCGACATATTTTTTAAATCAAGAACTATATGCAGGACTCTGAATATATTGGGGTGTTTTTTGAATGCTCACAGGTACATATAGGCTCAAAAATATACTTATTCCATTGCTAATAGTTAAGGAAATATGTCTGTGTGTCCTTTGTAATCTCAATATGTCAGTGGAAACTGTCCTCTTCATTTAAATAAATGTTTTTATGAGTTTTCACTTCTGTTTGGGCCTTTTCAGAAGCTTAAAGGCATGGCTAGTTTAATAATGTTGCACATTTCAGCAGTAAGACAATTTAAAATGCTGTAAATGGGGAAAAAAGAATGAGAAAAGTACTCTGCAGTGCTATAGAGGCATCATTAATAATTATACTGAATTCATAGTGAATAATTAAATTTAAATGATTACATAAGTATGTAAAGTAACTGAGTTAAAATGGAAAGTTGTACTAAAAATTTTATCAATTAGCACAGTTAAAGCCCAATCTAAGAAAATAGGTTTTTAATCTTGGTTTAAGTAACAGGGTTTTAGTGCTTTTACAGTTTTTCTGGGAGTTTATTCCAGATAAGTGGAGCATGAGAATTAAGCTGCTTCTGTGTATGTTTCTGGTGGTAGGTATGCAGAGTAGAAGACCAGAGGGGTCTGATATACTAGCAGGTCTGTAAAGTGTTTTCGATCAAAATTAGCTCAGTGATTGATAGACCAAGAGATGTATTTTAAGGTTTATTCTCTAAAATATGGGGAACCAGTTTAACTTTTTTTAGAACTGGAGTAATGTGCTCAACTTTCTTAGTTTTAGTGAGGATGCAGACAGCAGCATTCTGGATCAACTGCAGCCGTCTGATCAACATTTCAGGCAGACCTGACATGAATACTTTTTTTAATGTCATGCTGAGAGATTAGTCCTTTGATTCCTGCGATCTTTAGGTAACACAGGCCAACTTTATTTTCATCATAATTTGCCGTTGGATGTTCAGGTCTTACTCCTTCACTAAACCCAGATTTGGGCTTTTTTGGCATTGGTTGTTTCTAGCTGTATTAACTGAAGCTGTGTGGTAACTTTTGAACAATCTTCCTTTGGTCCAAAGTTTAAACACAGCTGTAGAAATCCATAAATTAAAGTCATTTGGGTTCATATTCACCTGGTGACATTGTAATGTACGGCTTTTTGTTATTTGCATATTTATGGTAACCTATGCTGCTATTAAGATCTGAAATAGGGAGGGCATATGGTAATCTGGTGTCATTCAGTGCTGTTAGACTATTTGGCCAACCAGCCCTGATGTATTCTTCAGGTCACTGTGGTGTTGGGACACAGAGTAAGGACAACATTTGAAATGGCTAGCTGATGATTTAAGGAGAAATTTATGAATTTGGAGGTAATCAACTTTATCCAATGCAATGCACAAGTAGTGAATCAGCCACCATCACCATGCTAGACAATTGGTATCGTGTTCTAGGGTTAATAAGCCTCACCCAGACAAATGTTTCAACCTTTGCCTCATCTGACTGAAAAACTTTCTGCAAAGGCCATTTTTACCGGTTGGCTGCTACAAATTTCACTTGAGCTTGAAGGTATCAATATTAGAGAATGTTTTTCTACCTTGGTCTGCATCTACTCAGTTCATGATTATATTATACTTGCTTCTAATTGAACAGCAACGCTGGTTTTCCAGATTGTTTCCCTGCATCTTAATGGGCTTTGTTTATGGTGGTTCCTGACTTGCTCTAAAACATCCAGCAATATCTGGCTATTTTTCAGTCAGGTTAACATTGGGATCAGATGATTGTAGCTTGATCTCAGCCTGTCGCTAAAGAAACAAATCAATGAAACAAATCAAAGATTTTATAATAAAGATTAAGGCCTTAAATTAGCCACTGACCTCAAATGAGTTGAGAATTCATGAGCAATGTTTAAAATGTAGTCCTGTGTGAGGAGACAAGACATTTAAACAAACTCTACAAGTTTTACAAAAATAAGCCATAAAATGTCAAGCCAAACGAGTCCTTGATGATTGATTTAAAAAGTGTGTTGAAGGACTTGCTAACTGAAATCTGACAAAAAAATAAAAAATACTTTATCTATGTGAAGCTCCACATGTATTTTTGATCCTGGATTTAGTTTTTTAAATAAACTAATATTTTATTACCAATTTGGAAAGCAAGAGAGGGGGCTACCTCAATGTAGTTGGTGAATTTAATAAGCTAAAGAGCTTACAGAGCAGAAGACTTGGGGAGGAGCTGGAACCATAAACCAAAGAGAATAAAGATAAGACAAGTCGTTAACAAGACAAATACCTAGAACATAACAGAAACTACATCAACATCTACATGTTTATAGAACACTAGCAGTGACAAAACTATACAATCAAACTACAAAGAAGAGCAATAAAGGACCATGGTACACTTACATTACATTCTGTTAATATAATAATTTATACCCAACTGTTTTAAGAACTCATGGAGGCTGCATTTGGGAGAAGCAATCATTCAAATTATTTTATTTTTATTTACGTTTATTTTGCAAGTTGATTAATCTGTTGATATTTTTTTTTCAGTTAATAACTGTAAAGCCAAATACTCCTTAAGGAGGGCTTTTTATGAAATGAAACCAGGTGAAGCTGAAAGTTTTCCACTTGAGGAGCTCTAGATTGAGCATATTGACAGATTTTTTTTTTTATCTTAAATGCAAAATGTTTGTATATATTTTTGTTCACCATCATGGCATAATTACTACTTTAAGTGGGTTGCTCTGTCAGCTGCAGGCATGTTTTAGAGTTTCTATACTCCAGTTAACAATGTATCGATTACTTAATTAGTTGACGATTATTTCAGTAATCAATTAATCCAATTAATTTTATCTCTAAAGGTATAAACTAACATGACAGTCATGTCTTTGATAAGTTCACGTTAACATCTAACATATATTGGAAGTGGTGAAAAGAATAGAGATTGAGACATTTAGTTTGTAAACTGGAAAATAAACTTTTTTTTTTCTGTTAAACTCTTTTCATATTCAGTCTCCATACTTTTGGCCTTCAAACTGCTGGGAACCTGAGAACACAGATTACGGTGAGTCACACCTTGTCGATTTTCACCTACTTCTCAAAACCTGCTGAGGTCTTCTTGATGCCTTCAGCATCTCCAAAGCTTAAACACAGCTCACACTGTAGCACTGCTGTTGACACTCACTACTTATTGATCCATGGGGCCATTCCCTGTAATGTATCTGGCCCTGAGGAATATCCACAAGAGAGAACCCTACAGGATAGGATTAGTGTGACAAATCAAGACGCAGGGACATGTTTGACCACATAACAGCTTTGCAGAATTAAGTAAATAATCCCTAGTTTTTGATTAAACCACTATGTTGTTGGTTGAAATAAAATGTATGTATTTGACACAATCCTTTCTTATAAAATATCAGGTCTTTTAAAAATTTTCATTTTCCTTCTCCCCTCCAGCCATTTACCTGTGCAAGCGCACCATGCAGAATAAAGCCAGGCTCGAGCTCGCTGACTATGAAGCAGTAAGTAAAATGTTATTTTGGTATAAAAACCACTGGCAAGTTTACAGCAAACAAAAAAAAAAATCAAATCATGTGTTCTGGAGCCTGGAGATGGCATCAAGCCTTTATCAAATGTCTGATTTACGCTCCAGGAGTTTCATTTAATGCCGGTAATTTCTTGGCCACGAAACATACCCTAAAATATCTGCAGGCTGACTTGGCATCAGCAGATCAATATGCCCCCAAGAGGGGTGTTACCGTACTGCTGAGCTTAGTGGCAATCTACTGCACTTAAACTGTTCAAATGACTCTGCAACTATTGTACAGTACACTTTGTTCCACTTCAATTCAGGACATTTTATGCCTCCAGGAATGATGGCCCTCACTGTTAACATGCCTGCTGGTTGGAGATTTTCTTTTTGTGACGAGGTTGCTCATTTAGGTTAACTTGATGTATGCTTTTTGCAATATTAACAGAGACACGTGGATACAATCTAACAGCAAACTTTTGTTGTTTTACTAAATGTAAAACTACCACCAATATATATGAGGCTACTGAACATCAGCGCATTGAAGCCTGTTCAAAACAGACCTAAGAAATAAAATCTGCTACCATGAGGCGTAGAGCTGGTTATTGTGCCATGAAAATGTATGTGTGTCTTTTTGACCTCAATGCATTTAGAGTAAATTATTGGATATTTTATTTGGAAAAAAAAAACGAAGTGAAGTGACAGGATAATTTTTTTTTTATATTGATATAAAAAATAATAGAAATAAAAATATATCCATCCAAGTTAGCCATCGACACATTGATGTTGCCAGGATTATGCTGTAGGGTCGGTAATCTTCATCTGGGTGAACGAAGCAGCTCAGAACTCCAGCTCAGACCTGATGGAAAATAAAAATGAAGCACATACATGGCATTCCCAGAGCAAAACCTGTTAAAGGCTGGAGAAGACATAAGGCTGGAGCAAAGGTTGCCTTCCAACAGGACGACTAGAAGTATACAACCAGAGCTACTATGTGATTATTTAGATTAAAGCCCATTCTTTTATTAGAATAGCCAAGTCAAAACTTAGGCCTAAAGATAAGAGAGGTCACATGACCTCCATCAAATTCAACTCAAATTCAAGTTTGCTCAGGCAACTTAACAAAAACAAATGGAGACTAATTTTATTCATGATATGCACCATATATGGTAGGGACACACCTTCTTGGTGCTTAGTCTAATTATATTAAACTAAATGTTTATGGTTGTAATGAAACAAAAAGTGGAATGGTTCAAAGGTATGAGGACTTTATTAAAGCCAGAGTATATAGAGAAACATTTCAACGGTTGGAGTAAAAAGTTTTGTATTAATTCCCCAAAAAGCTGTTTCAAATTGTGTCCTGCAGGAGAACCTGGCTCGGCTGCAGAGGGCTTTTGCCCGGAAGTGGGAATTCATCTTCATGCAAGCTGAGGCTCAAGTCAAGTGAGTGCAAACGTCAATCCTATCTCGCTTCAACACATCAGTTTCTGTTTTTCTAACAGTAATTCTCCTGTGGATTGAAACACATATGCCCTGGGTTGTTTTGTGAGGCTGCTATCTGGTGGTTGGCATGTGTAAGCACAAAAAAAGAATCACTGTCACATAGTCAGGACACTTTATCCTCTGCTGTCAGTGAAAATACAATAAAACAAATCACGACATCAATCATTTGCTCCTGTTTGACAGGAGTAAGGTCCATGTAGGAAATCATGAGTCTCCACATGTCAACATGAAGCAGAGGGCCGATCAGTAAATGTCAGTTATGTAAGGGCTTGGTCTCTCCAGAGAAAACACCAGATAGATCAGGACCTAGACTCCTCAGTTTTCCTTTGTTCTTGAGGCTGCAGTCATTTAGTAAGGAGAGACAGAGAGACGCCTCCTTATATCTAAGGCAGAAGCATGTTGAATTAATGCAGTTGGACCTCATGTTTCAGTTCTATATGCTGTAGTAGTGAGCTGTTTTCTCTGTTTGTAGGATCGACAGAAAGAAAGACAAAGCAGAGAGGAAGATCCTTGACAGCCAAGAGAGGGCGTTCTGGGACGTTCATCGACCTGTGGTGAGATTAAAGGAAGCAAAGAAGGAAGAAAGTCAAAAAATTCATAAAAATTGAGAAAATAAAGAATTGGGTGTTGAGCTTCCACCTCTGAGTAAAAAAAGCAGCATCATATTGTGTCAAAAACAATACGTGCTCATACAACAGTGACCCAAACCGTCATGTCTTGTGCTGTCTCTCACAGCCAGGCTGTGTCAACACCACCGAAATGGACATCCGGAAGTGTCGGAGAGAGAAGAACCCACACAGGGTGAAAAAGGTGATAGACGGAGGCAACACAGAAGTGAACATCAAGTCTCACTGTCCCAGATCACTAGAACACTGTTTTCTCTGAAGTAGATCCTGACATATAAGCTTACTTATATTTTATATGCACATATCTCCAAACTCTTTTTTCCCCCTTTATTTTTTGTTAAAGTGATTTAATTATCATGTTACATGTTCTGGCCAAATCATCAAATAAAATCTATGGATGGCTTCACTTTCTTTTGATTAGAAATTACATTTGAGTATCATATAAAAAAATCAAGCAAAATAAATGTCCAGTTATCATACAGCCAAAAAAGGGCCACTCAGTGAGGAAGAGGCCAGCACTGTGCATGAGAAGTCAGATTACTGACCTTAATATCAAGGGTAATTGAAGAAATTAGGAAATTAAAAACTGGGGGTAGATTGCCTGACATCAACATTTAAATGGTAAATTCAGTGTTGATATTTAAAATTATTTTGGTTTTGATGAATTAATAACAGGAACATTTAGAGGTTTTAAATAATTTCAGAAAGGAGGAGAAAAACAAATCATGCAAATTATAGTTTTCTCTAGAAATGTAATTATCAAATCAAAAAATATTTATTTATTATGTTTTTTTGTCAGAGGTTTTCCATATGCAGTTTCTTGCCATTCCAGGAAGGAAAAAACACATAAGGTTACACTAAGATTACATAAAACATCAGCATATCCCGCATACCAGTAGCCCTGATGTGTCTTCCCTTATTTATTCCAGTCAGTCTACGGGGTGCCAGATGACGGCCAGAGCCAACCAAGTCCAGTCCATATCAGCTCCCAGCCGAACAGGAAGCCCACCAAAGAGGATGTTCAGAAGGAGGCAAGTGTGACATTATGTTCCATGCTTCATTACCACTGCTCTGCCTCTCATTCATCATAAAGACAATCCCAGACAGAGACCAATGAGCGCTTACCTTGATAAGCTACCTCTTGTCTCTCTCCTTCCGCCCTCAGATAACCTTTTTGAACATCCAGCTGGACAGACATTGTATGAAGGTTTCCAAAGTGGCCGACAGCCTGATGACGTACACGGAACAGTTTGTGGAATACGACCCCTTTGTGTCTGGTGCGGAACCCTCAAACCCCTGGATTAGTGACGACACCACCTTATGGGACCTGGAGGCAAGGTGAGGTTTGTTTCCGGGTTGGGTGGATATGGCCTGGTCCTATATGACTGATTATTTGGGTCGTGCAATTCTTTAAGTGCTGCACTAATATCCTGGTGGCTGCTCTCTCATCGTCTCCTCTTTGGTTTCGTTTTGCATTGAGCAGCAGGGATCCCAGTCAGCAGCGAGTGAAGAAGTGGGGCTTTTCCCTGGAGGAGGCTCTGAAGGACCCTGCGGGGCGTGACCAGTTCCTGAAGTTCCTGGAATCAGAGTTCAGCTCCGAGAATCTGCGGTGGGACTAACCCCAAACATTCAACAGATATATCTTTAACAGATTTCATATACATAAATAAAACCATTCCGACTATATAATGACTGGATTAAACCCTGTTGTAGATTCTGGTTAGCTGTGCAGGATCTGAAGCGAAGGCCGCTCCAGGAGGTGTCCACCAGGGCTCAGGAGATCTGGCAGGAGTTTTTGGCCGAAGGAGCTCCAAGCTCCATCAACCTGGACTCTCACAGCTATGAGCGGACCAGCCAGAACCTCAAAGACCCTGGGCGATACAGTTATGAAGATGCTCAGGTTGACTGTGTGGTCTTCCTCATGGATGCGCATGACTTCATGTTGTAACGGTTGCACACGGGGGGATAAACAACAGAAATATATACTAAGCTGAAACCAAGACTTATTTCACCATCTTATCCGCTTGACAAAGGGAATCTAAAACCTTTAACTGTAGAAACAAATGAGGGAGAGGGTGGAACAAAGAGAGGGGATGATGGAGTGTGTTTGTGGCAGGGCCTAATGAGGCGAGTAACACCATGAATAGCTTCTTCACTCAGTTCACAGGGGACTGCTCTGGTCTTAATGTAAACAGGTCATGTGTCGTGTCTTTCTAGCAACACTTCACCCACTTCTGCTCTTAGCAACAAATTTCTTCATTCATGCACCAGTTGGATCAATAAACAGAGCATTTCCAATGCACCTCACAGTGCACTACTTTCCTGTTGCTCCGTCACATCGAATCGTTATATAAATTCATGCAAAGTTTTTTGAGCACATGTGAGAGAATCTGCATACAGTGTCTGCAATACTATCCTTATTATGACACAAATAGCTTTCTTGTTGGGTTCAAATCAGACATATATAAATATATATATATTATGTTTTTTGTCTGCTGCAGGAGCACATATTCAAGCTGATGAAAAGTGACAGCTATGCACGCTTTTTGCGATCCAACATCTACCAAGACCTCCTCCTGGCCAGAAAGAAAGTGAGTTCTCCGCCGATCTCTGCTTCATGCTGAGCATGCAACTATTTATTATGATCTGCAGAAATAAATAGACTAAATTAAAGAAGTTGAACTATTTATGTTTTCACATAATTATTCAAATTGTATTAATTAAACCAACTACCATAAGGAAATAATTAAACAATATCAGCCATCTAAAGGCACTTATTCCATCCAGTACTAATCATTGCAAGTTACCCATAATGTCAGGACTTAAGAAAGAAAAGTAACTGGATGTTTTATTCAAAATGACCTATAAACAAAAAAGCTTAAATTAAGTTTAAGAACTGAAAACCCAGAATAGATCAAATAAAATGTCTCTCAAAATAGTGTTAGATCAAAATGTCAAATGAAACCCAACAAGTAAAAACCAACCAAACATGATGACACACACAGCAGGCCTTTATTTTAAAAGAAAAGCAGTAGATTTATTTAATTTATCAGTCCATTTCAACTTAAACCTTCTGTGCTTTTCCACCAAACAAAATATGCTTCTGGGTTCTTAATAAACATTTCCAAGACCAAATTAAAACCATATTACTCACCAGTGTGTGTCAGCTCTCTTCCATGCACACCTGGCTGAGGTAAACAAAAGGTTAAGGTTAAAACAGTGAGAGGTGCAGCTGAAATGCAGAAACTGTATTTTGGATAAACAGTATCTGATACTTTAGTACTGACAAAATAATAAATATATTGCTTTATACACTTTTTTAAATTTTTTTTTGTATTTTGCTTTATACACGTTAAAGGAGGTTGAAGGGTTTCTCCTGATAGCTGCACACTTCAGATAATTGCAGGAACCAGTTTTGGTTTACTATTATAGCAAAACTAATATTTCCCTTAGGAAACAGTGATGCTCTTCAGTTAATAATCTGAAGTAAAGCAAACCTGATTGTGATCAGATTGCTTCTTCTATAAAATGTCACAGATAGCCAACTTCAGACGAGGCAAGGTCTGCATAAACTGTTGTTATTCAAAAGCCATATTTGATCATCCTCGGGCTGTGACCTTTACAGTAGTGTACTTTGGAATAGGTATGTTTATTTCTGTGACAAAAGTCAAATAAAGGCATCAGATGTAGACATTAATGCCTCGCAAATATAGATCTGATTTCTGTTGACAATAACAGGCCACAGCCTCATGCTACTTGTCGATAGTCCATATATGCCTGTATGGTGCAGGTTCAAACTTAAAGAGAATTATTGCGACAAAAAATGATGCTTTAAAACAACCTGTGTAAAACTGTGGGTACTCCCACTAGTATGTTTCATTTATCCTTCAACTTCCTTTATGTTTCTGGCTAAGACTAAAATGGGAGCAGCCGAAAGGACGTGCCAATCTAACTGAATGTAAAAATTTACATATGGCATTAGATACAGAAAAATATACACTTCAATGTTTGTGTCAAAGTGTTTTTTTTTTCTGCAATACTAATAACATTTAATGGCTATATGTGCCGAAAAAAATATTTGAATGATTTGTCAGTTTTTCCCGAACTGTATAGACTTTCATACTTTTAAATGCATTACATTTATAAATGTGCATAGTAAAAATATTCACATTTAGTTATAAAAGGTAAACCATATTAACAGTTCAAATGTCATTGGGAAGGTAAGTTTAAAGGGAAAAAAAATCTGCTTATTTTTGTACAGTCAGTAACATGTTTATCAGGAAATTAATTTAATTTTTAGGTTGCTGTTTTTTAATACTTATGGTTTCCAAGTGTTATGATATAAAATACCCAGGGCTGAAAAAAGAAGCAAGATGTCTGCTAAAAACAAATCGTAATAGAAAGACTTTATAGATGTATTAATGGCTGTCAAATGCAGCCTAATGTTTCAATTAGTTTAAAGCTATTATGTGCATTTCCTGTAGAGTTTAAGCTCTAAAAAGCCAACCCTTTTAGCTTTTAAATTGTGTAATATGGAGCTTTTCATCAGATCACAGCTTCATCTGTTCATGCCAGCCTTTCTGCCCTCTCTTATTTGTACACTGCTCCTTCTGCTGGCCTTTCACTGATCCTACACTCTCTTCCTCAAATGCAACCTTCTCTGCTCTGCTTGCACTGGGCCCTCGCTTTCTGCAATGCTTGGCCACCTCTTTTTTATTTTTATTCCCCTCTTTTACAACACCACTGCCACCCTCCGTCCCGTCAACACCCATACCTGACCCAAACACTCACCCTGCTTCCCCCCCCTCCCAAAACAGCAGCCAGCAGACACAGAGCAGGGCCGTCGCACCTCCTTGGAGAAGTTCACCCGCAGCGTGGTAAGTTATTTGGAGCTGGGGCTGTTCATATCACAGAAACCACACTGGCTGGCTCACAATCAGTGGCTTTTGCAGTTACAACCATATTGCACTCTGTTGTTGCTTCCTCAAGGTGTGTATGCATGTCTTTATGTAAACAGTACATTAATGCAGTGATGTAAATAGTTGCACCAAAGTAGATCTCTGGGTCCTCAGATGTTAGATCAGCAAGAAGTTTCCTCCTTAAATTTTTGATTGAATTCTTTTTTTTACTTGGTAAAGGAGTTTTTTCATGAGTACATATGTTTAAGAAGAGTCCTGATACTAATTACAACTCACAACAAATTGTACTTCTGAATTTTCTATAATTAACTTTTTGATATAAGAGAACTTTGTGGGATAACATTGATCAAATGGTGCAACTTGTATGTAAAATATACCATCATAAAAAAAACAACAACTTCCCAGCAGGCAAAACATGTTAATTCAACATCAATAAGACATCAAACACTGATCTCAAGTCGTTGTCATAATTCTAGTCACAAAAAGTAATTCAACTTGACATCAAATTGAAGTTTGTCGATTTTATTGATGTCACTTAAATATCAAACTTCTTTTATAAATTCCAATCAAATAATGATGTTAATGGTTTTTTTTTAACTATATTGTTCATTTTATAAGTAGCTTGACAGAAACTATGATTGGAGGGGGACATGCAGCAAAGGTCGCCAAGCAGGGATATGAAGCATTAAGGGCCAAAGCCTCTGTTCATGGGTCCTGTGCTGCACCCCTGTACCACCACTCTGTTTCATAAGAATTGTTTTTTTTTTTTATGTAGATCAAAAGTCTGCAACCAGCGGCTTCAGAGCTGCAAGTCGCTGTTTACACATTCCACAGTAGCTTTTAATAACTTTGGCTAAGAAATTCTAAATAATTAATAAGCGTTTTTTTTTTTAGTACCACAGGTTTTAGCAAAATATCTCTCTTTTTTATATGAAATAATTAAATAATTGTTTAATTATTAATTATATCATGAAAAGGAAATATGAAATGATTGTTTCTTTTTTTTGTCATTAGGTTGGAAACAATGTTATTTTCTACAGACATTAGCATCCCACCCAAATAAACGCATCCATCCAAATTTAGTTTTTACAAAAAAATGTTGGTAGATAAGTAGATATTTATCTACATTCAGGTTGTTTTTTTCAACAAAATCATAACATTTGTTGCTCTACCTTTTATTAAGCTGGACTGAAGGTAAGAACTGCTCTGCATAGTAAAAGTTGCAGGCCACTGACTTAGATGAATATGCAGTCTCACAGTATCTTTATCAGGATGAAAATCTGATGGTCCTGCAAGATGGAAATGCATGCAAGATGCCTTCTTACAGTGTTTGATATACATGACCTTTAAAATAGCAATTCCATAAAGCATAGTGTCTATAGATCTAGTAATATGTTTGACATCATCTACACACCAAGTTGTGTTCTGTAATGGCAATATGACTTTAATAATTTCCCCATGGCATTCTCTCCCAAAGACCAAACATACAGAAAAAGAAAAACAAAAAACATTTTAATTCTGGTGGTGGTACAGAGGTTAAGCCCCATGAACATAGGTTTTGATCTTTCATGCATCAGTCATAAGTTCGAGTCCTGGCCTGGTAACCCTTGCTGTATGTCTTCCCCTCTATCTAATCTCAGTTCCTGACAGCCTAGATTAAAGAAATAACAAAAGAGCACTAGAGTCTAGAAATAATCTTTAAAAAAGGGACAATTATTTTATTTGCAAAATCATGACATAATAAATGTGAAAAAAAATGTCAATATCGTTATTTGAGTGGAATTTAAAATAATTTTATTCTTGAAGTAATGTCAAAATGGCATCAATAAAATCGTTGATGTTAGGTTGATTTAGGTTTTTGACTAGAATTATGACGACGATTTGAGATCAGTGTTGGATCTCATATTGATTTGTTTTAACTGTGCCCTCTATAATCAGAAAATGCAGGTTTACATTAAACTATAAACTACTTTTAAAAGATTTAAATTAATTTATATGTAAAAATAACTGGTTACAGTTAAAAAATATTTTTGGGTTATGTATGATAAATAAAATAAAAAAATAACTTTTTTTTTATCATGCCTACATGATGCATTTACTACATGTTATTTTCTTACTTTTTTCATTAAAAATCCTTTGACAAAATATAAACATTTAACTTGGAAAAAAGGAGAGAAAAAAAATTAAACATAACACAATACTTCTGATACGTAGCAGCAACTACCTACCGTTTTAAAAAGTCATTAGCCGTTACATTACTTAGATTTTAATTTTAGCAGTAATTTCTCTAAGTGATAGAAACATTCTGTAAATTTCAAACAATATGAAGTCAAGATGTCTTTTTATCCTTTTTAACTTCCCTTTATTTGGACATTGCTTCATCTCTTCTCTACATTGACAGAAACATAAACTCGTTCCTGCAAGCAGAAAAATGGTTATAAGGAAATCGACTATATATATATATATATATATATATATATATATATATATATATATATATATATATATATATGGAAATGTTAAATATCACGTGGTTCTATAAAAACATAATCATACCATTCATAAGGAGCAGCAGGTAATTAACTTCACAAATTGATCTCTGCTCTCAACCCAACTTGAAACTAATCCATAGATGTCTCCCAGCCTTTAAAATAGTTTTCAAACAACTTGATTTGGCAAAAAGAAAAAAACGCACAAATGATAAATCCTTGTAATATAATTGTCATAAAGAGCCTATCAGATTTAGTTTTGATAAACATTTAATAACTTGAAGAATAAAATATAAAATTTGAGGTGGGAAATGTTAAGCAATTTGTGGCTTAATAGTTTGCAGACTATTTTCCCTATCAGCATATCAGCCGTATAATAAATGATCTATTGATACTATTTCATTCAAATTTTCAGGGGAAGTCTTTGACGGGGAAGCGTCTGACGGGCCTTATGCAGTCGTCCTGACAGAGCCTGTCAGTGAGAGCTACAACCAGTCCCTGCTGGAGGGATGACATCCACACGGGGGCCGGGGTAGGGCTGCAAACATGGTTCTTGGACACTGCTTCCAGGTTTGCTGGTGTCCTGCTGGTGCATTGCTGGGCAGAATGGGCCGAACCACCCAAACAGAACCACTGATGAAGAGGCCGACGCCTGGAGGAGGATTCCTAGCTAACGGATGACGTGGCATGTGGTGTAAACGATAAGCACATCCAAACTTATGCTGCCCTATCTTCATCACTTAGAGGGCAAAAGGTTGTCAGGCATGACTTGGTTTATTGATTTTATTTTAATGTTTCTTATTTTATATTTGCCACAACACTTTGGGGCCATAAATATTAAATGGAGGTGTGCATCTGTTCTCACAAGGCAGTCAGCAATAAAAACAAACCCAGCTTCTTTTGATATTCTTTAAACTGTTTTCATATATATTGAAGTGCGTAACATGCCGGCTGAAGGGTAAGAAAAGATAGGTGATTATTAAAAAACACCCCACCCCCTCCCTATTTTCGAAAAAAAAAAAGATTTTTTAATCTTCATTACATTCCAAAATCCCACATAAGGGCTTTATGTAGCAACCATACGGCACTGTTGCATGTTCCATCCTAATGTTCTGGTTGATAGTTCACGTCTAACAGCAGTGCTTTTTAACCAGACTTGTGCCAAAAGTGGGTTCGGCTCCCTGCCTTCCCAACCTGGCTTCAAGTTCCAACGTGTCCAGTGAAATTTACCAATTCCAAAAGTCTGTGTGAATACCTTAGAGGCCTAAGAGCTTGACACACTAGTATGGCTAAGTAAAGCATTGTAATCCAAGCTTCTAGTGTAGGAACAGATACGGTTTTTGTAGTCACAGAATTTTGAGTAAAATAAGATCTGTATGCTTCTGGGGTTTGTTCTTTAGAGTAGGTCTAAACGTTTCCAGTGCCATGGGTCCATCTAGTGTTTTATAACCAGAGGGCCATCAAGAGGAGCTCACAGGACTCTGCCTGGCTATAAACATGCTAAAGGAACAATGCAGGTGCAAATATTTAATATCACCAGAAAGTCTATTTATTTCAAGGCGTATAATTTATTTTTTCTGAAATGTAACAAGGTAGAATATTTACTGTGGGATATCAGACCCTCGCCTGTCAAGGCTGAATTCGCATCTAAACACACCTACAGGCTAATGACCTGAACACAGACTTCTGCCTCTGCTTCATTTATAAACTTGACTGTCATCTTTACTCCCTGATTTTCCTGTAACCTCATTTGGAATAAGCACCAAGCTAAAAGGGTCAGGGGCATGATATTCCCACCACATGTTTGGCATACAGTGAATGGTTTGTAGATTCATCACACACTGAGGGATTTATGCGTCTACCCTCAGGTTATTAGGATACTCACACTAATCATTACTGAAACACCAAATCTGTAAATCCCTTTATTGTCACACAATGGCAAAATTATCTCTCTGCATTGAACCCATCCCCTTAGGGGGAGCAGTGGGCTGCCACTGTGCAGCGCTCGGGGAGCAGTGTGGGGTTAAGGGTCTTGCTCAAGGACCCAGCGTTGAGGCTTTGTGGATCAAACCGGGTACTTGCAACCTTCTCAGTGCACAAGTGCACTGCTCTAACCACTAGGCAGTTATACCAAGGATAATTTTAATGACTGAGTTCTAATGAGGACTTTGGGATATCAGGAAATGTTGCCATGGTGATAGCAATGATAAATACTACAATGGTAAAATGCTCATATTCGAGCGAGTGGATTTTCTTTCTTATTTTTAGTTCCATCACTGTCAGACCAATTGCAATTTAAACAAATTGACTCCGGTGTGATTATCTACGGCTGAGATTCTGTCAAACTGGCTAAATATTGACTTGGCCTGTAAAATGCGAATTATAAAACTGGAAATATATTAGCTAACAGAATTTTAAAACAGTCCTTTGCAGTATTGATAATGCAAATCCGAAATCTTCGGCATAGTGTTCAGCCCTACTTCTAATATAAAAAAGTAAATCCAGGTGCTCTACAGTTATATGCCCTCAACTCTTGGCCTGAAGTGTTTTTCAGGAATAACTGTTAGTGCAGCCTTTGCCCCCCTTATAGGAATCAAGAACATGTTGCTTTGGTAGTTGCTGAGGTAGTTGCTTAATATTTAATAGACTCTGTGAGTTTTTTCCCCCCTAAATCCTTAAATGGACATTATGGCGACAGGAGCATAACATTTCCATTCACAAATATCCTTTCTTAAAATTAGTTTTATGCAACATTTTAATCTTAACAGAAGTAGATGCTTGAAATAAATTCATCTGTGTGAGATGAATCTACATATACCTTGTGTATTAAAGTACTGAAATACCAACTTTTCCGTGAGATTCTGATTTACTGAGTTGCACTTGTATTAAAGTGACTGATCTCTGATTATTATGCTGCACAGTCAGATACTATCTTTTTATTTTATTGCACGTATATCTTTTTATTTAGTCCCTTAAACCAATGGCCATTTTTATGTTTCTCTGTTGAGTGTTTGTCATGTGGAAAATGGTGCATGTTGGACCACAGGAGACGGCTAAACTGTTTATCGAGATGGATTAATGTTTAAAACTTGAGATTGGCTGAAGAGGAAACAATAGGAACATTGTGGCTGCTGCCTTCTACACACAAGAAGTGCCCACCCCCGAGGCCACCGACTGCAACAGTGAAAAACCCCCAGAATGCACCGCTGAAAGAGTCTCATCGGTTATTTTTTAGTGGTCATTTGCAATGCACTGTACAGGTCATGATGCTAATTATTCTTATTAACCGAACTCAGTAACCTCCTAAATGTAAGGTAGAGAGATGCTTAAGTCGAGTCAATGTACCAAATGTTATCCTCAGCACAAAACGCGGAGACACCGCGTACCAAGTGCATTGTAAATTTAAAATGGTTACATTTCATTATCGGAAAGCACACTTTAGTATGATGCGAGCACATTACTATGCATGTTACATATTCAGGGCATTTTGTGCTTTTAGTTTCTCAATCAGCAAGATAAATCTAAAACACTCAAAGCACTTGTTATCTGTTCACGGGTACCAAATAATAAAACCTCTGGACCTGTTTGCTCTTTGCTGCTGTCTGCTGTTCTGCGTCATAAAAGAGAAAACAGTTACAAGTGTCTCTCATTTACACACACAGACATATACAGTATATGAATCAAATCACACAAGAACAAAGCATTTCTCTGCTGTTTTATTTTATTGTTTGTTCTAATGTTCATTGTTAAAAAAAATCAAAATGCAAGCTTTTGGATTAAATTAAAGACTGTAGATCACTTGGTAAAGCAATTATGAATGTGAAAAAGCGTTAAGAGGTATTTTTTATTGAATATAACAATAATTGAACTTGGAGAAATTTACCTCTTCATTTAACCCATCCCCTTGGGGAGCAGTGGGCTGCCATCGTGGGGCGCCCGGGGAGCAGTGATGAGTTAAGTGTCTTGCTCCGAGACCCAGAGAGCCAGTCTGTGGGAGTGAAGCTTGAACTCAGAACATCAGGACTCCAAGCTCTACGCCCTAACCACTAGGCCGCACCTCCTTATATGCAGGTATAAATATTAGGCTTTTTATAGCAAAGACTTGAAATGATTTCCTACTTTATAGCATTAGCATAAAAACCTGACCTTTATTTTATATAGAGCTATTCAGCTCAGGAGCGAAAGAATATCCAGTTATTGAAAACAAGTTTATAAAAAAAAAGGCATTGTCACTCCTGACGTTTATACTTTGTCAACAGCATTTTTCCGGTATGAAATTAATTAAGCTGGACCATACAGAGAGATTACTCTTAACCATCCCTCTGTGAAAATATTCTGTAGCTCCTCAGTAGTCTTTCATTCACACATTTTTCTCCCCACAAAGGTTTTATATCTTTCCAATTTACATGTATGGACTGATATATCAATTAAAGAAAAGGGATTCGGGGATTTTTCTTCAACAGTACCCAATGGAAACCTATTTTTTGTTTATAAATGTTCAGAAATGTAAAATTCATAAAACATGAGGTTTAATCATTCAATTAACTCAGTTTATTTATATAGGGCTAATTCTCAAAGCATGTCGCTTCAGATTGCTTCACAATAAAGATCATCCAGTCAGATTGTGCCTGACTTTGCAGGACACGCTCCTCCTGGATCGGCATGTGAGAACACTAGATATTTGTTTGCATTTTGTCATTGACTCAACAACAATCCCTCACACAAAGCATGCATGCAGTGACAGTGGAGAGGACAAACTCCCTTTTAACAGGAAAAACCTGCAGAACCAGGCTCAGTGTGAGCGGTCATCTGCAGAGGCCAATCAAGTTTCAAGAAGAAAGAAGCACTGATCCATACCGAGGTTCAAAGACTGTTTTGAAGAGAAACAGGTAAGCTTGCTGCCACTGAATTTAGAGTCAAACGACAGTGAGTGACTAGCTCCACTTTGATCAAGCCCCCCCCCGAAATAAATGTGTTTCTTTCACTCTCAGAGTGTTTTTCATTAATTTATTCTAGAAGTATTTCTGTTTTTTTTTCTTAATATTATCAGGCAAGTAGGTTTTTCTTGTTATTACATTGACATTCATTATTTTAAATGTTACAAAGGTAATAAGGTCTGGTCCTGGATTCCAATAACACTAACAATTTAAAAAATGTAGATTTTCAAAGTATTTCACTGAGTGCCCTATAAAGTGTTAAACTCCTTTTTGGAAAGAGCATGCTGTTCCAGTAAAAGTCAAGGTCCATGCAAGTAAACTCCACCTTTTTGTGTTTAACTGACTATTTCCCCGCAACATGTTTCTCAATAAAACAGCTGGCATTTAGATGATGTAAACGGTGACATGACGCCGCACGTATGCTGCAGTTCTTCTTTTTTCGTCTTCAGCTTGAATGGCAGAGACTAATTTGGGTCCTCATCCAGTATTGTCACAGTTCCAGTTTTATAATTAGTGTTCAGACTGTAAATATATATAAAAGTGCTTTTCTTTTAGGTATATGTTTTTATTTTGCAGAGTTGCATAATTACTTTTTTTTTTTTACTTAAACATTATACCAAAGTGAAACAGGAAGTCTTTGATGAAAGATTCAAGGATACTCTAATGGAGGTTTTCATAAAACATAGACCAGTAGAAGAAGGTTTACTTGGTTGTATTTTAATAGGGCTGCTGTGTGTCAATAAGTGTCCAAATGATTATTTTTTTAATGATTATTTTCACAGGATTTTTTTTCTCTCATGAAAACATTAATATTCAGAATACAACAGAAATAAAACATTGATTTGTTTCAAATTTTTTTGTATGTCTTTACTACTGTGACAATTACTAAGGAGGGTTTTTTTGTATCTAAAAAAATATTCACACCATTATTTATATGTCTGTGTGTCTCAATAACATTTTCTTTATACTACTGATGCAAATCAGTTCAATTTATAAAATGATTAATCCTAAAGGTAAATTAACATCCTGCAGTAATTCATGGTTATTTTTTTCAATATGGCTATTATCATCATATTTTTTCATTAAACATTTGATGTTTATTTTATTTTTAGTTTTGCCTTTTTTACTTTTTCCAATTAAACTAACAGGGGATGCAGCTGTGCCAAAAAGCTGAATTATAAAGTTGGTTTTAACTTAAAAAATATGGTGCAATGTAAGCAAACTATTACAAAAAGCATTTTTGGATACAATGTTAATACAAATCCTACCTGAAAACAAAATAAATGTACTTGAATCATTTTTCAAAATATGCTGCTGTTACAATGTAACTGGTATCCAGTATATTATGTAAATATTTCATTTACAAACGGCATATTCATGAAATTAGATTAATTGCACAAGTAGGACATACCTGTTTAAAAGAATCGAGGATTTAAAAATGCACACATTCTAAGTTATAAGACTAAATAAAACAGGGTTTTGAAATTATGTTTCAGTCTAGAATCAGAAAAAAAGTATTCTGCCTTAATATACAAGAGACAACAAGGTTACAGCTGATCTGCACGTTTGTTTTTCTCATAAAGACTCTTGCAAAAGGCTTCATATCCTTTTGGACTATCAGCGTCACACTTCTTACCAACATCCTACCCAAAGTTGGACTTTATTTACTAACAAGCCCATTTATTAAAAACACTTACTCTTTATTTAGAGGTGGGGGTAAATACAAATACCACTCTTCCTTTTCTAAAGAACGGAATTCCATTAATTTTTCTCTCACCTCTTGTATCCTGCTCTGCATTTGTTTATTACATTTTGGTACAATTTAACCCAGGATCACAGAAATAATCTGTTCACAGGAATCTTCTAAATACTCATTTAAGAACAGCTCCACCCGCTCATTTTATAGTTCCGATTTTGGTCTTATAAACATACGAGCAGTTTCTCCTTTAAGCGTCTGTAGGTCACTCTAACCTATCGATCCAGTCTGTTGTCCTGATCAGCTGCCTGCTCAACCAGAAAAAAAAAAGGAAATAATGGCATCACTCGCTCTCACTTGTTCCTGATTTGGTATTTATTTTTTCAGAATAAAAATAGTTTACCAAACAAACACTTCTTCATTTTCTCCTTTTTGGAGTTATATTTACAGCAGGGGAAAAAAACAAAAAAAACAAACCAGAAGCAAAAAGACCTCGTCATATCAGTTACATCTCTTCATGGCTCCGTTTTCACCCAGATTCTCCTCCTCTAAGGCCTGCTCCTTTCACCAGGAGCACCAGGGCCTATTGCTGTGTCTGTGACGAGGTATACCGGCTCTTTTATAAAAAGGTGACACTGTATTTTAAGCAAACATTTCATTTTTCTTTTACTTTTTGTTCAGAGATGTGAGCACTTTGCCTGTTAGTATTTGCAACATTTCAGGACACATCTTTTAATTTAGTGGCTTGATTTGGAAGATAAGACACTGACCCCATTTCAAAACGGAAATGTCATATAACTGATACAAGGGAAGACTACAAGATAATGGAAAAGTTTCAGAAGCACTCTTTATCAGGTGGAGAGGAAACAAAAAAAGGTAGAGAGGGGAGGATCCCTGAGGGAAGTGAGGAGAGATGATTTGAGTACACCAGTCCTAACAGACACGCAGGAATAATGGAGCAGCAATATTGGATAATCATACACCTCTGAAACTATTTGTGCAACCTTTGGACCCAACAGCTTCTCCATAGAGAACACAAAGCGCGCCATAAAGCAGTAGGGCCTCAAACACCACATGTATACATGTTTTCCTCTCATCTACAATGGCAATATGAGGCTGTTATTAGTATCTGGTAACATTTTAAACCAAAAAAAGAAAACAAAAAGGAGGATTTCTAATAACAAGCCAACAAATTAAACTTATTGCAGATGATTTCCTCTAGCAACAGACCGCTGCCTCCCAGAAACCTTTCCAGGCGTGGATTAAAGATGAAGGAATCGTGGTGGGTGTGGGTGTCGCTGTCCCTGCTTGTCAGCAGAATACAATCACTGATCTGAGCAAGAAGCTGAACAATCACCAGGAAAACAAGGATGCCTGAGTAGCTGTGGGTACTGTGCACCTGATCAGACTGTGGTATGATACAATCAGACAGAAATTAACTAATAAAAGCTTAAAATGTACATTTTGTACAGAAAAAAAGCATGCAAAAAATTAAGGATTGTTGTGATTTGTTAAAGATAAATTGCAAGAACTAAAATGGGTAAAAAAAAACTATTAGAGCTAAAGGATTACACAGTTCTGAGGTCTGGCTGTAATAGTGGTGGATTTGAGCGCCGACTCTATGGCTGTAGGTCAGTGAAGGGGCGGGGTCACTGGTATGGTCAGGTTGGAGGAGTCATGGCTGTCAAAGCTGGTTTTCAGTGCGGAGCGGCAGGCTAGCACAGTGTTCAGGATGATGACGTCTTCGTGTCACATCAGATCAAGCGGCAGACATACATATGGTCACAGAGCAGGAGTGGGCAACCTGGGTCGCCCCAAATGTGCCCGTTGGGCACAAACGGTCCAAAGGCCTGGCCTTTAGTGTTCCCATAGTTCATAGAGGAGCTCCCAGCGCAGTGCTGATAGGATCAAATGAAGCCGGATTCTAGCATTTCAAATGTTTCAAAGGGGTCGATTCCTAATGTCAGGGGAGCGGTTGCTTCAATTAAGCCACGCTTCTCATCCAAGGCTTCTTCAGTCTCATGTTCTGAACCCAAATCCAGACGGACGAGGCGGCTCATTAGTATCGAGGGTTGAATCCTTTTCTTCACTGATCCTTCCCCAATCCCTGGGCAACCCGGCACTGAGCTCACTCCTCCTGTACGATAGATAACCAGAGTTAGACAGGATGTGCCTTAAAAAGTATTCACATGAACTTATGTTAAAACTAAAAAACTTATTTTATCAGTATATATGCAAAAATAAATCAGAAACTATTAATAATTGCTATATAGAAATAAAATTTCATATCTTTTTACAAATGCAAATGTAAAGCTTTAACCCTATTTAAGTGACCTGATTAGAAACCAGATTATACTTCTGTTTGATCGAATCTCTATAAACACTTCTGTGAGGTCTTCCGTTTGATAGAAACACTAAGAACAATTTCAGAGCTTTGATCAAATCTTCATCAGAAAATAATAATATAAAAAGGATTATAGCACAATTACAGAACATTGTCTCAGATCAGGTAAAACTAAGTTTAACTTTTTATCTGTGCATTGAAAACCTCGTGTGAAAAAAAACACCATTAGCCCACTAAAACACAGCCCTGACAGGATTATATTGATGCTTCTGTTAGAAGGAATGTTTAGTCAGTCCCTAGATGTGCAAAACTAGTAGAAATCTGTTATCAAAGACTCGCAGCTATAACTGGATTAGATGTTGAAAGTCCAGTCCTTGTGAGCTACCACCCAAAAACTTTTAGATATATCCCTTTTTAAAAACACGGAAGTCTAATGGTGAAAAACCCTCATTATGTCATTCAGCTCAAAGGTCTGTTAAAGAGAAGAGATACATCTAAAAGTTGCAGGATGGAAGCTACCAAGGACACCCCTGGTTTAGGTAAAAGCATTTTCATGTGTAAAAAAAAGTCCAGTCAGAGTCTAGATCTAAAGTTAAAAGAGAATTGGTGAATCTATAGAACTACTGGGAGTCAAAAGTGATCATAGAAAGTTTTAACAAACAGTCTGTAGTATTTGGGGACACCTGCAGACACTGAAACTTCTAACTCATAAGTATGAACTAGTTTGTGTATATCATATCTGCCAAAAAGAATCGAAAGTTTGTGATTAAAACATTAAATAAATTAAACTTTAAAGGTCTGTAATCATGCCACAACAGTTATTAGTACAAAGAGGCAATGTCACTACACTTACTACAAAGAAACTGATATCTTATTGATGTTTAACATGACTAAAAACGTTACTGCCTAATGACTTACCTTTAATTTATTATGTCCCTTTCCATGAAAACAATAAAGACGTCCATATTCCAATATTTCCAGTGGCTTGTAATCTTCCTTGGTTCCTTCACAGCCTTCAAAGTGCCATAGACTTCTGATCCAAGAGCCTCCGTTAAACCTTCGATGCAAGTGTCTTCAAAGAAATTCGATCACCTAACCAAGCTCGCCACTTTCGAATTTCACTTCTTCAAAACAGTCTCTAATTAGTCCAGTGTTTGCATTTGTTCATAGCTTTTCGCTACTTCTACTTCAACAATGGGAAATGAAGAAAACTTTCAAAAAGGACGTTGAAGCTTCTTCTGTTTTACATAGTAACCTTTTCAGGAAACATTGATAGTTCGTTGCATTAAAGGTCCATTTATGCTGTATATTAATAATAAAAAAAGTCTCCATAAATTATTCAATGTTCGGTAGATAAAATACAACTTGCATTTCTGTCCGGAAATTCTCACCTTGTGCTTTCAGAAAACAAATCCAAAAACAAAAAAATTCAAAAAGAAGCAGCTGATTTTTATATATATATATATATATATATATATATAAAATACATACATACATATATATATATATATATTTAAAGAAAAAAAGTGTCAGTTTAAATCTAAGAAGTCTATCTGTGGCGGCTGGATAATCCGTTGCTATTTGCGGCTGGTTCTTCTAGCTCATCATCCTCAAAGCCATGAAAGGTGGAGGTGTCACTCTCTGAGGTGGTGCCAAAAAGCTCCTCGGCTGCAGTAAACTTGCCATCCTCCTTCTCCTCCCCACCACCGGCTGTCATACAGGACAGGAGAACAATGGAGAGGGAAGACACGGATTGAGGAAAGGTTACTTACATATACCATCCCGAGTACTTTGAGGAGGAGATATAGCAAATTAATGTGGGCATGCAGCACAGAGGCGTGAATGAACTTACTTGTGCATCGGCAGGCTGAGCAGGGAGACCCAGATTTACCCGTTTTCCTGTTTGCTCCTTGGCATTTATTACAGTAGATGTTGGGAATGCTGGTCCCACCGGAAAGCTTTGGACCTTAAAGAGAATTTAAGAAAAAATTTTACTCGATCAAGATTGACTTAGCACTTTTCTTTATAAAAAAAACCTCACTTTGTTGAATACTTCTCTCATCTTTTTAATGGATGTTTCTTTAGAAGCCCATTTCCATTAAGGGGGAAAGGAATGTGGTTGGTCGTAATTTCAAAAGTGATCATAACAAGACAATTTAGACTCTTTTCTTGTGAATTTATGATTAAAAAAATGAAAGTTTTTTTTTTTTTTTTTACTTTTGATATACAAGATAAACATACATTTATTAGAAATAGCTTAATTTGAGGAAATAAAAAACTATTTTGGTATAAAAATTCATAATCATGAGATACAAATTTAGAAAAACTTACCTTTGTCAAAATAGATGTAATCATTAACTATTTTGATTTTACAGTGATTGACTAAAAGCCATATTTATAAAAACATAGTACATGACTTCTGACACAAAAATGACAATATCATTAAACAACTGTTCCTTTCGGGGGTCCTGTAGGGTGAGTCTAGTCCTGCCTACCCCTGCTATTGAGCATATTTTCTTTCTGAACCAGCTCTCTAAATCCTTTATATATCAGCGTGCCGATAAATACATACCAGGGGAGTTTGGTTCCAGGTGCTCACGGATACACACTAATACTAAAAACTGAACCGCAGCTACAGATCTATATCATCCTCAATAACATTGAATAATCACCATATATTTTGCCTTAGACAAGCATGGATATCTAAGGGATACCCGCTATTTTGAATTTTTTATTTTTTTTAATGTTTACATTGGTTGTGTTCTTTTTGCTGTAATGCTCTCTGTTTTCTGTTCCTCTCGTCTCATACAGGTATGGAGGCAGACTTCTAGGAGTTATGCTATGTTTAGATTGCATGCTGCAGAAGAAGCGCGTTTTAAGCAGCAGGAGCAGAACGTCTGATGCGTCTTGACGTGCGTGAAGCAGCTGCTGGAGTTGCAAAAATTGAACTTTTGCTGCTCGACGTGCCACATCAACAATTCAGAGAAGCTGATCTGGGAGCTGGCAGGGAGAGAGACACGGCAATGCTGGTGCAGATCGCTATGATCACTCCTCTGAAAATATGTTCGCTTTTATTATTCTGTTTTATTATTTGTTTTTTTAGTTGCGGTCCAGTAGCTGAAGATATTTTACTCTGACCTGTAAATGTTTGAACAGCATAAGTCGTAAATGACCAGAGCTGTTTTCAAGATTTGAGTCTGTCCGCACTTTGAAGCTAATCCTGTCTTGGTGACCAGCGGCTGGAAACAACTTCCTTAGTTAAAATAAAAGGTGTGAAAAAAAAATGTCACAGTTTAAGTTCTAAAGATCTAATAAATGAAAACACAGGTGTTCTGTAGCTAGAGGTTTGAGGAGGCTTACGTTTGTGCCTGTCAGTCTGTGGTGCAGTGGGAGAGTGGGACACCACCGTGCTTCTCTCCCCAGTTCTGTCCTCTGCCAGGTGGGAATGAGTGTAGTGGTAACTTAGTCCTGTGCGGTTCCTGTATCGCTTTGTGCACACTGCAACAAACAACAGGAGGGCCTTAAGTTTCACAGCATTGTATTTATCTTACAGGTATTGAAGTAAACTTGTCATTTTCTGACTGCTCTCCATTATTGCATCTGCAAATTACTCAAATAAAGTTATTACAGAATGGAAACTTTGTATTCTAAACATGAATCCAAAGTATTTTATTTTTTAAACACACAAAAAGTGACTCAGATTTTCAACAGCATGAGCATTTCTGAGTAAGCATGGGCTGGAATGACATTCTCATTGTGTAATAACCTGGAAAATATCAGGGCATCATAGTATTTACAGTAAAAGAATGATATCAAAGATACATGATTTAAATTATTTGATTCAAAGTGGAGGAACAATGAGTACTATGGTCACTAAAATACTGCATTACTGATTATGATGGACACAGAACAGAAACTGTGAAAGTTTCTGTTCTGTGTCCCAGAGGTAGGAGGGAGATGCAGAGGTAGGAGGGAAAAAGGAAGACGGACAGAAAGAAGCATCAAGAGTGAAAGAAAAAAGAAAGGAATGAAGGAAGGATAGATATGCGGAAACAAGGGCGAAGATATTGGAAAGAAGCAATGACTCAATAAGGGAATTAAGAACTTGTCAAAGCAAGAAAAGAAAAATTATACAGGGAAGGATGGACTGAACAAAGTGGAAGGTATAGAAGGAAGCAAAGAAGGCAAGGTGAAAAGGGAAGAAGGACAGGAATGAGGAAAGAAGAACACAAATAAGAAATGGAAAAAGGACAATTACAGAAATGAGGAGACACTAGATAGCATAGGAAGGAAGGAAACCATGGCTCAATCAGGACACCTCAAATAAAGCCAAGTGTATCACATTTAATACATGAGTTGTTAAGACTTCTGTATCATAACTGGGATGTTTTTGTGCTTGAAAACCCAGACTTACCCAATCAGACACATGTAGGGAACAGAAAATGTGTAAAACATTACATAGAAATGCTTAATGTATCAAAATTGATGCAAATAAATGCTCTAATTTAACTTATTCAAAAAGTATTTTTTTATCTATTTCATTTGTCAGAAAGTTACTTGACAACTCTAATAAAAGAAATTGAATTTTCTGTCAATTATTCCACAATCTTTAAAGGGTTAAACCAGCATCAGTGGTCATCATAACATGTGCTAAGTGAATAGAGCTAGTAGCCAGGAAGGAGATAGGATGCTTGCTAGTTCCCATTTATTTAGCATAGGAATCCTCTGACGCTCACCCATGATCCTTTGCGGGACCTAAGCACAACCCGCGTCATGAAGTTTAACACAAATACATTTTTCTTCTCATGTACTTGATGTGATGCATGCCAATATAAAAACCTTTATTTGTTTCAGGTTTAATAATGGAGAACTTCAACTAGAGTTAGAAGCTACAATCTAGGGTATTTGCAATGAGCCATTATCTGGAAACTTTAGAAGCATTTGCTCCAACACACCTTTGAAGAAACCTTTTAATGACAATTTCGTTTGATCCAGGTATGTTGGAACAAAATGCTTTGTGGCTTTGCTGTATAGGCCTTGGTATACCATCATATTTGTACTCTGCCTACTCCCAAGCAAGGGAAAGAAAACATACATCTCCCAAAAACACAATACTTCCAACACAATTAAAGGAGCAGACAAATAAAGGTACCTGAGGTCAAAGTCTTTGAGTTCTGCTTTTGTTTGTATCTGTCTGAAACAAAGAACAATGACAGAGAAAACATCATGAAAAAGTGTGTTATACGAGCAGAGCAGCAACAACTGCAGGAAAATCCAACACCCTCTAGCTTGGATTTTCCACATGCAACATGCATATGCAGGGTCACCTGGGGTGACAGTGAGACGGGTTGCCTGGTTACAGCTTAAGGTAAATATCCACAGACGGCTACATTAAACCTGGGATTTCCAGACATTATCATAACCACTGGCACTTTTTACAGGGTTCCTTTAAAAAAAATTTAAAACACTAAGATATCTTTCACTAATAACACAAATTTTTTGTTCTCTCTAAAAATCCAGCAGAACTCTAAAGATTTTCTCTACTTACTGTCACAGACATATGGCTTATCATCATCCAGATCTGTCCTCCTACGGCCTGAACCTCGGCCCTGAGCAGATGAAAACAAGGAAAGCGTTTTTACCGATTCCATCAAACACATCCTACCATCATCAGCGAATCACACAGACTTTAAATGATTACAGTATAAAACTGCCAATTCAGTAGATGATTACAGAGGGCCCTACAAGTCACTTACTCTTCCCTTGCCTCGATGTCTCCTCTTGGGAGTGTCCGCCTCATAATCATCGTCATCATTGAAAGCGTCTTCTGCTGCATCTGCTTCCAGAACCCTCTGAAACAGAAAGACATGATTCAGTCTGAAGCCAAATTAGTTATTTAAATCAGCCTTTAATCATTTCTTAAATGAGTAGAACAGCCTAAAAGATTCCTGTTTGCTGTAAACAAGCATGTTTCTACATGTTTCTGGTGGAATGTGTGATAGTAAGATAAGTTCTTGTTTCCTGACTTTTAACTAGAGCCTTAAGTGAAAGAATGGAGAAAAAACACTAAAGCTTTGTATTTTCCTCTATTCCTGAACTCAGTATTTTGCGGCAACTGAATGTTATACCGGTTAAAACTAATTGGGAGGTATTTCACCTTTCTTCTTGGCTAATAAAGATGTCAAGTTAGTTGGGGGAATTTAAGGGTTCTGCCACATGGAGCAAAATCTTCCAAACTAGCAACACTAACCTGAATCTCTAATAGGCTCTCCTCATCATTCTTAGAGTTGTTCCTCTTGTCCAGACCTTCTCCTCTCAGGAGAGCCTCCAAGGTGGTGCTCTGGGTTGGCAGAGCTTCTTTGGACATAAGGCTGCCATCTAAAAAAAAGAACAAAAGAAAGATCTTATAAACTCATCTAGTCAAACCGATGCAATGCTCCAGCTTTTGTTATTAGTAAGGACTGAGTTATCATAATTACTGTTTTCACATCAGTATAATAGATAAAAAAAACACATCATATTTTAGGTAATTGCATAAAAGAGTTTTTCTTTTTTCATATCAACCTAAACACCTGCACCCAAGGCACTTTTTCACATTACAACCACAATCTTCTATTTATTTCAGTGAGCTTCAGAGTGAGACAATTATAATTCGAAAACTGTCCCATTTATATGGATGAATTGAGCTTTAATGTGATAACACTAAATAAAACAAATATGAAGTCACTTAAAAAAAGCATTAGTATTTTAATCCCAGTATAAACGCAGCTGTTCTGGGAAGGTTTTAGGATTGTAAAGGAATATTAGTGAACAAACAGCATCGTGGAGACCAAAGAACACGGCAGGAAGTTTTGGAGGGGATTAATGCAGAGTTAAAATATGAAATAATATCCCTCAGCTTTGGACTACTCATTAAACACAATCCACCGTCTGAAATGAGAGAAAACCAAACTACTTCAGGGGACCCCCAGTGTAACTCGGAGAATCTGTTAAAACAACAACTTTTCACCAAATCAGGCCTTTATGGTATGGTGAGAAAAATAATTTGACGAATGACAACTATGAAAGGTCCTGTCTGCTCTCACCAAGAGCTTTAGGAGACAGCAATAATGTGGAAGAACATGTGCAGGTCAAATGAGATTAAAATGAAACCTTTTTGCATACATGCAAACCGTCCCCAGAGTAAAACCTGGTGGTGGCAGTATACCGTAGAGAGGCTTTTCCAGCAGTGACAGAGAGCTGCTCAAAGTTGTTGGGAAGATGGAAGAAGCTAAATGAACCCTGGAAGGAAATTGTTTAGAAGCTGCATAAGATTTAGGATTAGAAGTAGATTCAGCAAAAGGACCAAAATGCATAGAATAAAAAAAAAAGCCTTTAAGATTAAACTGTGTTCATGTGTTGGAATTGCCCAGTTCAGTTCCGATCACTTCACAAGTTTATAGCTGTTTGTCTATGTCAAATAAAAACAAAGGTTTGTAGCTGTGAAAATGTGAAAAGGACAGAATATTTTGCAAGGTACTGCCTTTTCTCCTTCAATGAGCGGATGAACAAACACTGTAGAAGGCGAGCAGGTTCTGTAAAGCAAACAAAAGTGTGACAAGCAGCCATATCTGCATGTCTAATTCACACAACCTCTTCCCAACAGAGAGCTGTGTGATCTTTCGGTTGGTTTATGAAGAGTAGCCACTTCAAAGCTCAAGTCGCCTGCAATCCACACTCGTTTTCTATCGACTAAACAAACGGGAGAGGCGTTCTGTTGAATGTCACACCTGAAACACAGAAGAAAAACAGGAGTGTGCAGAGGTATGAAGCAGACACAAAAGGCAGGAGTAAGGAAAGCATCTTTCTCAAACCACGTGGCAGCAGCCCATCACCATTGTGTCTGCACACGTTGACTTTCAACTCTCTGCTACGAGACAACCGCCCCCCCCTCCATGCTCACCCGTTCTCTCCCTCCCTCCATCTAAACCCAAGGGAGATGGGGGGCTAAAAATAGAGCTGGAAGCAGCCTGCAGCAGGGAGCTGATTGTGCATGCAGCCCCAGTCTCTTTAGCACACCATCAGTCAGACAGCGACACAGACTCCGACTGCTGCCCTGTAACGGCCACCTCAGGCCACTTGCTCTACGTGCTGCACGGAGGAGACGCCAGGTTCAATCAGACTTCGTTCCACCTCTGCTAGGCTCTCGCAGACAGCACATACGCCAGCCATTGCTGTTGGAGAGGGGAAGGGACAGCTGGGTGGTGGTGGCGAAGCCTAAGCCAGAGTGGGAGCAGAGGAAAACAATAGACTACAATGGGATGTGTTTGGGAAACAAAGGCTCAGCTCATGAGTTATTGCTAGATTTTGCAAACCAATTCCATTATTTTCCTCACTCTTTGGCACTTCAAAAATAAATTTATTGGATCTAAGATGTGGCTTCTAAATCATGGTAATTTGACAGATTTTTTTTACAGAAGCAATAGAAAAGATAAATAAAGATCAGTTTGTGGGAAAAATTCCTCACATCCCACTAGATTTAGGAACAGAAGGGACAAGATACATCGGCTCCACAACAATGGTAAAAAAAAAAGAAAAATACATGCAATCATGGAATAATGAGATAAAAGCCATAAAAAACAATCAAAACATTTGGAGAATAGAAAATATGCAGACATGTTCTGTAGAAGACTAGGGAAATGTGAGTGAGGTGTTGAGAGTAGTAGAAGGTTAAACTCCATTCCCTAACATTTATTAAATACTGTCTGATGTGGCCAACCTCTGCCTCAACGCTTCCAGCGTAAATCTAATTACATGTTCTATTTCTCCCAGAACAGGTTTACCATCCGGCGAGAACGCAGACATATTTTATTTATCTTGTGGTGGGGGGGAGGGAAAATATCCTGTACCCAATCTGCTCTATATGCTGGGAACATGATATTGCTTCATATGAGATTAACACAAATAATCTGGAGGTTCAGAGTAGGTTGTAAACCAGGCAGGGGGACAGATATGGATAGATAGGTGGAGAGGAGGTGGTGGGGTCTTACCAAGCTGAAGGCCATAGATGCCCAGGCGCGGATCGTTTGTGTTGTGGAGTCGCCTCTTCTTCCTCCAGCAGCGGGCCGGGTATGTGTACATCTGCCCTGCTGCAACACCTGCAAAGTTTTCGCAATGACACACACAAGCACAACACTTTATGCACTTCATATGGGATGAATATAATCCAGAATATATCTTTTTTTAAAGGAGTTGTGAAAACTCAGAGAGACGGCAGAATAAAAGTTTTTTTTTTTGCATTAAGTCACTGAAAAATCACATCTGGTCAATTATTTATACTTTTTTTAAGGGCTGGATTATAATTCAATATCAATATACTGTTGCCACATGCGCTTCCAGGGTGAGTGAATTCCACAAATTCAATGACTGGATCCAATCAGCGGATTTCCCTTTGATAGAAAACTTCTAACTAATCTATGACTCGACGCAATCGTCTCTGTAAAGATGACGTTTTGTAAATAAAACAGATTTGAATTGACCAATATACATCTCAGTATCTGTTCATAAAATAACATCAAGCTATTTTCGGTATTTTGTCTACAATTAAAGTATTTGTTCTTGACTGTTTAGTGCATAGCTGATTCAAGCTAAAAGAAAAACAAACAAAAAGGTGATAAAAATTGAATTAATAAAAGACATTGTCTACACGAGAAAAGACGTACTACCATGTCCAGCAGAAGCAGACTGATCAGCTGTGGTTAGTCAACCTAAAACGCAGAAGTTTTAGCCACTGATTATATTTTTGTTTTGTAAGACCTGTCCTTTGCAAAAATCGTCCATGGAAATGTCCCCGATTTTGGGGAAACACATTTTGAATGTTAACCATTATTAAAATAACCATGTAGAAAACATGCTGGGTAAGAGCTGGTTGCACTGCTGTTGATGTTTAAGTCAAAGCAGAGGAAAAGCTCGAGCTTGATACCAGGATATAGAATCTGTGTTGTTTAATTTTGTTTTGATTGAGCTGCTATATCTAGTTAGGAGCCGTTTTGCAAATTTATTAAAGTGACTTCTGACCACAGTATCTCAGGCTTAGGTTTGTTTATTTTTAACATACCAAAGTTGAATTTCTATGTATTAACTTGTCTCTGGAGTTTTAAACAAACGATTCACAATAACTGGTTGCTGGTCTCCAGCATTCTGTCCCCTGTCCTCTGGCCCATAAACAAGTTGGTGCTGAGATGGTGCCCGATTGTCTCTGTGGTGGACCCACAGTTTGCTGGGATGGAAAGGTGGAAGACATCACCATGGTAGCACATGTGTACTATGTGTACAAATGCCTGCAGTTTATCCAGGCTGCCATTCCAAGAGAGACTAAGACTTCAAGGATGAACATATCGCAGGGAACTTGCTTTGTTTTATCCCATTGAGCTGCTAACCTGTGTGTTGTGCAACATGCTGGATTTGGAAATGCTGGCAGACTTCCGGAAATCTCAAAGCTAAGCTAAGGACCTACACTCTCTAGTGAACAGAGACTGCTGAAGACCAACTTACAGGTGCTGGTCATAAAATTAGAATATCATGAAAAAGTAGATTGATTTCAGTAATTCCATTTAAAAAGTGAAACTTGTATATTATATTCATACATTACATACAAACTCATATATTTCAGATGTTTATTTTGTTTAATTTTGATGACTACAAATGACAACAAATGAAAATCTCAAATTTATCATATCAGAAAATTAGAATATTGTGAAAAGGTTCAAAATTGATGGCCCCTGGTGCCACACTCTAATCAGCTAATTAACTCAAACCACCTGCAAAAGCCTTTAAATGGTCTTTCAGTCTAGTTCTATAGGCTACACAATCATGGGGAAGACTGCTGACTTGACAGTTGTCCAAAAGACGACCATCGACACCTTGCACAAGGAGGGCAAGACACAAAAGGTCATCGCTAAAGAGGCTGGCTGTTCACAGAGCTCAGTGTCCAAGCACATTAATAGAGAGGCGAAGGGAAGGAAAAGATGTGGTCGAAAAAAGTGTACAAGCAAGAGAGATAACCGCACCCTGGAGAGGATTGTGAAACAAAACCCATTCAAAAATGTGGGGGAGATTCACAAAGAGTGGACTGCAGCTGGAGTGAGTGCTTCAAGAACCACCACACACAGACGTATGAAAGACATGGGTTTCTGCTGTCGCATTCCTTGTGTCAAGCCACTCTTGAACCACAGACAGCGTCAGAAGCGTCTTGCCTGGGCTAAAGAGAAACAGGACTGGACTGCTGGTGAGTGGTCCAAAGTCATGTTCTCTGATGAAAGTAAATTTTGCATTTCCTTTGGAAATCAAGGTCCCAGAGTCTGGAGGAAAAGAAGAGAGGCACTTCATCCACGTTGCTTGAAGTCCAGTGTAAAGTTTCCACAGTCAGTGATGGTTTGGGGTGCCATGTCATCTGCTGGTGTTGGTCCATTGTGTTTTCTGAGGTCCAGGGTCAACACAGCCACATACCAGGAAGTTTTAGAGCACTTCATGCTTCCTGCAGCTGACCAACTTTTTGGAGATGCAGATTTCATTTTCCAACAGGACTTGGCACCTGCACACAGTGCCAAAGCTACCAGTACCTGGTTGAAGGACCATGGTATCCCTGTTCTTAATTGGCCAGCAAACTCTCCTGACCTTAACCCCATAGAAAATCTATGGGGTATTGTGAAGAAGAAGATGCAATACACCAGACCCAACAATTCAGAAGAGCTAAAAGCCACTATTAGAGCAACCTGGGCTATCATAACACCTGAGCAGTGCCACAGACTGATCGACTCCATGCCACGCCGCATTGCTGCAGTAATACAGGCCAAAGGAGGCCCAACTAAATACTGAGTGCTGTACATGCTCATACTTTTCATGTTCATACTTTTCAGTTGGCCAACATTTCTATAAATCCTTTGTTTTTATTGGTCTTCAGTAATATTCTAATTTTCTGATATGATGAATTTGAGATTTTCATTTGTTGTCATTTGTAATCATCAAAATTAAACAAAATAAACATCTGAAATATATGAGTTTGTATGTAATGTATGAATATAATATACAAGTTTCACTTTTTAAATGGAATTACTGAAATCAATCTACTTTTTCATGATATTCTAATTTTATGACCAGCACCTGTAAATATCACCATTGGAATGATTCGTTTTCTTTGTTTTTTAATGTGACATTATGTATTATCATTAGTTCTGTGGACAATATATATATATATATATATATATATATATATATAGTCAACAGTAAGGAACGATAAAGATATATATTTTTTTTAATGCAGCTAATTGAGTTCTTTAAATCAGAATCACTTAAAGTTTAAATAGAAAACCACATACGTTTGTACATTTTATTGTATGTACAAAATTAAATACATCACAGGTGAAAAAATTTCCATCATTTTGTTGTTTATAGCATAAAATAACTTACTAAGATAGCAGATTAAGCTAAATTCCTCATTCAGTCACGTGACCCACTGAGGCGCTGTAGGATGCTGTGACGTCAGTTTAGTCAGGAAATAGTCATTTTACATAGCGAGTCAATATTTATTTACCTTTGTGATGGAGTTTTTATCCTTTAACGAGGACGAATACGAATAATAATGCTCGCTGGTTTAATCACCGCTGCTAAATATTCTTTGAACTTATGCAGAGCCGTTGGAAGTTCATCATCTTTCAGAACTTTTTCTAGATGGTGCTGTGTCTTAATTAGTTTAAACCAGATTCTAACTTTTTGTTTGAAGATGGGATCACAGGATTCGAAATGGTTCTGTGGTGGCTGTGTTCAGTTCAGTTGGCAGCGTGCTGCTGTGGCCAGGCGTGAAGGCTGGCGGTTAGTGTTTGGGCCCTGTATGCGATGCTGGCGATTCGGATTAGCAGGCTGTGCTGTGCTGCTTTGCCAGGATGGGGAAAGTGGTCCCTCTATAATCCAATTTCAGCGAGTGGTCCAAGCATCGCATCCTTTCTGCTGTCCGGGTGGGAAACTTTGCCCTTGGGATGAGCTTATTACCCGGTTCGGCTCATGGCTCCGGTCCGGTCGGGTTCGAGCTCTGGGTCTCCGCCTGCGGTAACCGTTATCCATCATGGTTCTTGTTGTTCTGGAGCCCGGACCATAATGATATGGAAATCCATCTGGAGCTGCAGCTATACTAAACTGTGCATCTAACCAGGGTTTGTTCGTGAAATAAAATATTTCATAAAAAAATAAACAATGCTTTGAATCAACTTTATTGCCATCAGGCACTTTATTAAAGCTATACAACAGAGAAAACGAGCCATGACAACTTTGGTATATTGTAGGGATGCACGATATTGGGATTTTGGCCGATATCCGATATGCCGATATTTTAAAACTCATGTAGCCGATAACCGATATCGTTACCGATGTTAAAGCTGGACAAAAATAAGTAGTCATTGAAAATAGCAGTTTTGTTATCCATTTCTGACACTTTGAAAAATAATATACTCAAATATATTTTCTTTTGCTGATATCAAATTGATTTTTAAAAACGCGGTATCGATCTATTTTACTTTTTAAAATCTCGTGAAATTTCATCGTTTTGTTACAAACTCTCGTGATATTTTGCAAATTCTTGTGAGATTTTGTTAGTAAAATAGATCGATACCGCGTCAATATATCAACATATAAAAATATGGCAAAATTTCGTGAATTTTCGGGGGATTTCGTAGCATAACGATGACATATAGCAATATTTCATTAGTAAAAGAGATTGATATGGTGTTTTTAAATGGCAATATATCAGCATATGAAGATATTGTGATATTTTAATGTATTATTATTTTTTCCCCGTCTTTAGAAGTTTTTAAGTCTGTAAAAAAGAAGTTTTTGAGGAAGAAGAAGAAGTAGTTTTTTTTTTTTTTTTTTTTTTTTTAGACCTTAGAAACTCAGAAGCTGATCAAATATCGGGTTAAATATCGGTGGGGTGGCCGATGTCCGATATTCAGTTTTAAGGCCGATACAGGCCGATACCAATAGGGGGCCGATTATATCGTGCATCCCTAGTATATTGAATCCAAATGATGCTGCAAGAGCAGGATTGAACATTAAAGAATCTGCCGTGGTGATATCCGATCATAGTTTGCTGTATCAGCTTGGAACCACAGATTGGCCGCTGATTTTTGTCTAATCTATTTACTTTCAGCATCGAAATTTGACGCAAAACCGTGTCCTTTGGATAATCAAACATTCCTTTTCCCAATCCAAAGCCATTCCTATGATTGGCAGCAGTACAATAGACCATTGTAATGACGTTTTAACAATCCTTTCAGAGTGCTTAACAATGCGAGAAGTAGTGTTTCTATACAACCGCTGCAGGGATGTTTGATTACACTGACGTCACAGCTGTTTTTCATCACGTTACTGCTCTCACCGCACTCGCAGATCGCAAGAGGCGCCCGGCATATTGTAAATTTCTCTCCATTTTTATTACTTGGAGCATTTTTTGTGTGATTTTGACCAGGCACATAGAGGAAAAAAAGATAATCTACCATCACACACAATAAAATTGCTCTAGACGCACTTGTTTCTATTTGAACTTTAAAACAGATATCAGTTGGTTAAAGGGTTGTCCAAAATGAAAGGGGAACATCTATTTTTCTTTTTTTTGTTGCAGTTTTAAGAGATTTTAAAGACTAGATGGTAAAAGGTGCACATTAAATCCCTGCATTCCTATATGCAGAATCAGTGTTGCAAATAACTGCTTGGATTGCAGTAAGTATTTGCCTCTTATACAAGTAAATTTATATCATTGATGTCTGTGACAGATGTGTTCATGTATGTTTATTATAAAAGATAATGAAGAACACCAAAAGACCTTTAGGCAGATCCAAGATAACCACACTGCTGGGAATATCTGATCGAACTAACCACTCTGCAAGTTGTATCACAATAGCAGGATTTATTTGAGCTTGTAGGTTTTTCTAAGCTCTATCGCATCTGGATCAAATAAAGCATATTAAAGAATTCTCTCTTACAGCTTTAATTTCCTAACTCTTGAGGTAGATTGCAAAACTTCTGTCTGAAAAAAATAACACATCAGCCTTCAACATTTTGATCATAGTTGCAGGTTTTCTGACTATGGATAATGTTATACATCATTATTTTCTGTATTTTGCAATGCATACTGAATGCAATCTATTCACTAGAGGGAACAGCAGCATCCTGAAAATAAACATGCATTCTGACCCAGAGCAGAGCGTATCAGGGCGGACATCAGCCTGTACTTTCTGTGCCTGCTTGTGTATCTGCTTGTGTAGGTGGGTGTAAGTAATTTACCAGGGCTTCGGTGGTGGCGCTCCATCCAGATGTAGCAGTTGTTCTGGGCAACGCCGGTCTGAGAGTCCAGGAATGGCAGGCGGACGCTGCGTTCAGCACAGAGGCGGGCATTGTAGCTGCGGCACTGCTCAATAGCGTCCTTATAGAACTGGTCGCCCAACCTATAGCAGGGAACAGTTGCAGAGGAAGGTTAGAGCGTTGTGCAGAACACAAACAAGCAATCTTTTTCCTGAATGAGTGGCTGGTAATTTGCTGCTAGAACTGATGGGTTGATGGGTTTCTGCAATATAAGTTTAAGATTTTACAAGATTTTTTCACAACTAATATGATTAAAGTCTTTGAATTTATAAAACCAACTATATTCAACAAGTAATTTACATTGAACTGACTTCAGCAGGTTAAACACGGCTTTGTTAAATATAGTTTGTTTTCTCAGCTTGGCCATGTGACTCCAGTCCTTTTAAAATCAATAGTCACCAAGAATGTTTGGAGCTTAATTTCATAAACCAGCAAGAAGAAAACAAGTTATCAGAGAAGAATCTTATATGGAGACTGAATGTCTGGCTTTAAATTCCTTCTGTTTACTAGTCTAGTTCATGGGCTTTGTAGTTTTGTAATGATGGCAAAAAGCCCTACCCAAAACAAGAGCTTTTGGTTTAAATCCCGGCACTCAAGAAAAGAAAAAACACAACCCAAAACAGTTGATGCAAAAACAAGAGAATCAACAAATGTATAAATTGAAAACAAATAGAAACTTAAGACCAGGTATATAACTGTAAATATTTATCGTATTTACTTTTATCGTGAATTTTCTTTTCACTGATCAGTACAAATGAGTTGGCTGCTGCTCAGTTTACTAGGATACTGCTTAACGGGCCTCCGTCACGTACTATGACTAAAAATTACTAAACCAGGAGTTACTAAACCACTGGTTACATACAAAAACATTCTGATAAAATCGTGGTACAATATTAGCATATTATATTTTACATTTTGTTTTCGCTGTATTTGTTAATAAACTTCAAAGATGACATTTCCATGGGTATGATATTGCACATGTGTGCAGTGAGTAAAGAAGTTATTTCCCCAGCGTGTGAAGAGAAATAGGAAAAGTCAGAGATGATGAAGCATATGGTTAGTTTATTTCAAACAAGATAAAGGTGAGTGACTGCATGGGCCGGTTACATGCATCAAGGTTTTAAAAAGACTAGGAAAAACTTTTTTAATCCCCACTAATTAACCACATTTCAACTGCTATGTTCCATCAAATTTTCATGCAATAGACAATAAATAAATACGATATTTAGCTAATTTAGAGCAAATTAAAAACACGTTTCATTTTAACAATGGTTGATAGAATGGAAGGCTGTTATAAATGTTGTGAAATGTTATCTGGAGACATAGAGAAATAAATGCAATTTTAATGAGAATATACCCCATTTAAAGGCACACTATGCAACATTTTTCAGTTAATTATTGTGTTCCATAACGTTTTGGATGATTAAATGAGTCATTTCAGGTTGAACAAAGGTATTCTCTGCCGCCCTGGTGGTCTGTGGGGGAAAAACCGCACTTGCAATTGCAGGAGCACCGACCCGCACCCACAGGCTCAAAAGTCTCGGGAGAGTCGGTCTTGCTTTACGGCGAGAACTGCTACACGCCCCCAGTTAAAAGCATGCTCGTTGCTAGCACAGTGGCGATCTTTGTGCAGCGCTGCTTTCACACCGGACGCAGCAAAAGCAGCAAAATCGCGTCTGCTGCTTCATTTTTACTGCTTGTACCAGTTCTGACGCGCGGCTGAAGCAGCTTTGCTGCTCTGGTGCGCGGTGCAAAAGTGTGTCTGACGCGCGTTGGGCGGAGCTTCACTGTCCTTTCTCTGCCTTGCAGCTATATTTGCTGTGATCAGTGGGAATAAAGTAAGTAAGTAGTTTTAATATGTTTTTAAGTGAGAAAATACACATGAAAACGTAATCAGTGTAGTCAGTTCCTCCAGATTACAATCCTGCCTTCCAATATTTTTTCTGTCGGAGCCGGTGACCCCCACATAACAGCGGTGTGCCGACAGTAGGAATCACTTCATCAGCAGCCTCTGGCTGGCTCCTCGCGGTTCACGGCGGCAGCTGGTAGGTGTTTTTCCTCTAAATAATCCAAACTGCAGGCAGCAGGATAATAAAAGCGAACATATTCTGCCGGCAGATTTCTGCATTTTAAGTTAATTTAGGCGTCAATAAACTGTTTAAGAGGAGTGATAATAGTGCTCTGATCATCAGCGCTGTGTCTCTCTCCCTGCCAGCTCCCAGATCAGCTTCTCTGATTGGTTGACGCGGCGCGTCGAGCAGCAAAAATAAAATGTTTCCATCTCGAGCAGCAGCGCGTTTGCGGCGCGTCACTCTTCTTCTTAGGAGAATCTCCTCAACCAGAGTGTTCAGATCTGTTCTAACTTCTGATCAAACCGTTCAAGTTCAGCTTTTGTCTTGCACCCAGTCTCCCTCCGGGGATAATTTGCTCAGAGAAATAAAATGGACCCCTTAACTACCGTATGACTCCTCTGCTGCTCGCATCACACAGGTTCAAGATGTTATAACCTCTAGATCCAATAAGCTATGAAGTTATCCATTTAACCGACAAGCAGCTAAAACTCTCGGTTTAGTTCCACTGTTCTTAATGCCACTGAGAGTTTCGCATTTCCTCTGGGTTTCAGTGTCAATATTCAGAGAGAAATGGAAAGGGGGTGGGGGGGCTATTTTACATTCAAGCACTCAATCTCTGCCACACGCCTGGTATGGTAATTAGCCTACTTAATTAATCTCACCAGAATTCTTTGCACAAGGGCAGGTTCTGATTTGTATGAGAAAGACAAAAAAAAGGTTGAAAGTTATGAGGATGTAGATTTAGCCCATTTTTATGGTCTGTTTTTATATTACAGGAGCCAAAATGACACATCAGAACAAGTGTTTATAGTGGGAAATCCTCCATGTGTTCTTAATTAGTAGGATGGCCATTTCGAAGTGAAACTAATGAGCGTTTGGTTCTGAGTCATTCTGTAAATCTAAAGCCAGGATGTAGAAAGGTAACTTTTTAACATCCAGTATGCTCTGATCCTGTTAAGGAAGACATCCTTGGTCCTTGTTAACTAAAAATACAGAATCAGAAACAAAGCAGAGTGTCTTTGTTACATGAGAGAGGAAACAGGTACAGAGGAAGCACAGGGACAAGGTGAAGAGGCGTGAAGATGAGAGAAAGAAAAAGGAGGCGGCAGGAGACGTAAAGCAGCAAGGTCAAGACAAAAACATATGGCCCTGTGTCCACTTTCCCACATTCTTATCTAATGCTAGGAGTTCTTCTAGTTACTCATCACATCACATATTTTCCTGTTTTTATCTTAAATACAACAAAACCACATTTTTTTGCAGTTACCCACTTTCAACGTTTAGACTTAACAGCTCAGATATGTCCATTAGTGGCTTGATCACCAACTTCAGATAAAAATTTGAGTCATAAAGATTAAACCTGTCCAGATGACCCATAAAATATATGGATGGTCAAGTTTGTACCAAGTGTTAAAATGGACCTGTTCTTTACAGTCATCTACAACTTGATGTAAATTAGACATGAAAAAAAAAAACTTTCCCCCTCAATTTTGACTTAATGTGTAAAAAAAAAAAAACACCATAAAAAGGCTCCTAAATCAGCTGTCAACGAGTAAGTACCCCATTTAAGTAATGACACAGAGTTACCTTGTGTAGCAACATCTGGCAGGTAGATCCTGCTCCATCTTTGTTTCTAGTAATAATAATAGAGGTTCAGGCGGCAATTGTCCTTTATGAATGAAATTCTGTAAAAACTTCATGCTGTTTTTTCAAAATCTTGGTAAACATTAAAATTTGTTTTATGAATTTAAATATTCAAGTAAAAAAAAACAAAAAACAAAAAACAAAAACAGGAGCAAACATATGGAGTGAGTTTTCTGCCAAAATGTTGTGTACAAAAATGCATGTTGCAAATGCATAAAGCATGTTTCACACAAACAAATCTTATCACACACAAATAAACATGTTGCACTCAAATAAATCTTATTGTTCACAAATAAAACTTGTGTTACAAATGTTTTGGCAGAAAAATCACTCCATACAACTTTAAAAAGGCTACCATTTTTTACAGCATGACATTCTTCTGTAAATCAATTGAGTTTTGGACTTGTAGAAATCAATCATGTTATCAACTAACATGCATGAACTGCAAAAAAAAAACAGAAAAAAAAAAAAAAAAAACTCAAAGTACAGATCCTGAGTTAAAACAACTACTGAGCTTTACTACAGCTAACATCGGTACAAGGCTGTAATTAGATAAACCTTCCTGAAGTCTATGTGATGCCAGGAAACTTCCCATCACTCAGATGAGAGGCACAGAGGGTTAGATAGGGTTGGATGTGTAACGAGGGAGAGATGAAAAAGTGGAAGAAGGCTGCCTATGTGTGATGACACGTTCTCCATCAGAGCCCTGCCACTTCAAGCAGCAGGTGCATCAGCTAAGGTGAGAGATCCTTTTGACAACTGTAATGAGTGACAGGACCTACACACCAAGTGAACCAGGAGATGAAAGATACCAAGACCAGCTCCAGCTTTAAACACCCATACGTGGGCGTTTACATTTCTTTTCTGCCTTTTTTTTTTAAATGTTCAAGCAGCAATGAAGCTAAAAAAAAAATAAGCAAAAAAAAGATAATCAGTTAACCTGTTAACTGGCCAAAATCACCACAAAGATACCTGAAAAAAACATAAATCAAATCAACTGCTTTTCTTTAAAACCTTGGAGGGTCTAGCCTGCCATATAAAACCATAATGGCTGACTGTAGTCTCATTGTGGCAGTATGAGGCTGCAAATTTGCAAGCATTTGGTTAAAAACTGATTATACATATAATACAAGCACATCATTTTGTGTTTAGATCATTAGAGTGAAGCAACAGTCCAAACAAAGCGATATGCAAGAGAAAAAAATGCTAGCAGCTAATCTTACATAATGCTATTCAAAAGCTTTTTTTTTTTTTTTTCAAATTATGAAATATATATGAAAGCGAAAAATCCAGGTAGAAAAACGGTCCCAGCGTTCTCGTGCAACACTCACAGTTCCTGATGCTTGTTCTCACACTGTGTGGCCCGA